GGGACGCATATTTGGGGTGAGCACAGGAGTTTGGGCTCTTGTCATTACAGGTACGTTTGGTCTTGGTACAGTACTTTTTCCTTTGGGAACCCCGGATTATCCCACTCACTACATACACCTGCTTACTATTAACCCATTCTATCCTCCAAACAGCCACCTACACTGCCAATCTTGCTTCTCTCTTTTTCGCAACACTGTTGGGGGCATACTCAAAGTTCTGGGTGAAGCTCAGGGAGCTTAGGTAGAGATTGTCGGAGAACCACTGGAACAAGGATCTGTCTTCTCTTTCATCACTGAGCTGCTCAATCAGCTGGTAAACTACGGCAGATAGTATGATTGTCATGCCAATAACAGCCCATACAGCCAGTTCAAAGGGCTTGGCCCAATTCAACAGATTGACATTGCTGGGCTCGGGAGGGTCTCTCTGATCCACCAGAATCAAGCTGCCGTCATACCAGGCTTCTGTGAAGCTGGCACCCCTCTCCATTCGCTCCAGGGAATGATCATACGAGCTGACAGCAATATCAAAGTTCTCCACGGACCAAATCAACCTCTCAGTCTGCATGCATCAATAAACCAAACAAATGTACCCGTGAGAAGGAAAGCCTGAGGGATCCGGGCTGCCTCAGAGGCCATGTCCATGTATACATACCCATGACTTGTCCAAGAAGTTGCCTGGCTCCATCACACCAAATGAGTCTCGCCATGTAAAATTTGCCCGTTCAGCCAAGACATCCATGATCTCTGCTAAGATTCCTGGATCCTCGGGGCTCATTCCCTCTTCAGTTGTGTAATTGAGGAACTCATCACTCATAAAGACTGCAGTTAGCTTCATTCCGGAAAGAGCATCTCGAAGCTGGGTCTTGCCGGTGGCAAAATCCTCGTACCGATCGCAGATGTTTTGTCGTGCATTGCCTCCAGCAAAGTCCCCTGCCAAGTTCAGGACAGGGACCTGCCCAATCTCTCCTCCTTTGGCTTGGGCGACACATGGCAAGGATGCCACAATCAATGCTACAAGTAACATTGCAAAGGTTCGTACTCTTCCTTTCATCTTCCACACTCAAAACAGCAAGGCAGGCAGATGGATAGTGATGATGAGAGACGAGAGGAGCTGTGAAAGGTGGTAAGGCCTTGTTGGAGATGATGGAGTTATATCGAGCGAGGACTGGTTGCCCAGCTTCTACAAGAATCGAATCGTGGCGAGACTACTGCACCGTAGCTCTTCTACTAGCTAGCTAGTACGGTAGCTAGAAAAAGGCATAAAAATAAATAAGCGCTCTAAGCCAGTTGTTGCCAGGTTCCTCAGCGAAGTGTGAAGAATGCCATGATGCCCAAAGCTTCCCCAGGGTGAGCACCGAAACCGGCACTTTAAATATTAATATGACCTTTGGGTTGATTGATGACCTCGACATTGCGCCACTGTCTACAGGACATACGTGCTACCGTAGTTACAGGAAGGCATGCAGGCACGGCGGCCACGGCCGCGCCGGAGCCGGAGCGCCGGAGCATTCGATGTTGGAAGGTGGTGAATGGTGAGATGGTCGATTGCAGTTCATGGTTCGCTCAAAGCCAGGTCAAAAAGGCAGGGTTGACCACATGATGCATACCATAAGTCTCTTGATCAACAGTAAAGACGCTTGGAAAGCGAGAAAGACAAGCGAGAAGAGAGCACCAAGCATCGAATGAATCCAGTCGGTGGTGGATCAAAGCTTGGATCATTATTTATTCTTATTTCATTGCTCTTGTGAAAACCAAGTCGAGTCCACCCGAGTTCAGTCCATCGCGATTTGGATCGAGGCACAGTGCTCAGGTCGATCGATCGCTCCGGCTGTAGGCACGTCCTCCGTACCCATATCCTTCTGCTACCATCCCTGATATTGAAGATGCAGAACTGAAAGCCAGTGGGAACACAGTCAGATTTCGGCCGTCCGCTATTATCATGCAGCAAGTCTATTATTGATGGCGCAGAAGTCGTATGGCAAACAGGAGAGAATTTCAAGCTGGATGGATAAGATTGGTGTGGATCGATGGAACGGCTGGTACGGTACGAGGTTAGCCTATTATCAAGCCTGCTATTGAAGGTGCATAGCTGAAAGCCATCCCTCATTGGATTCTATGGACGATGGGAAGGCAATCATGTCTCGGCTACGGACGGCCAACTTGGTGGAAAATGAAAAACAAGGTGAAGTCTCCGGTTGTCTGCAGTTCAGCACAGAAAACAAAGTACCACTGTCGAGTCCTTTTCGGTCGATCGATGCTATGCTATGCTATGCTATGCTATGCTATGCTATGCTATGCTATGCTATGCTATGCTATGGATAACAAGCTTCTCCGGTTGTCTCCGGCCTGAACAGATCTATCATTGTCGAGTGTCATTGAAAAGGCAACAGTCAGTCAACCGGAGGAGGCCACACAACAACACACAAGCAAAGAGGAGATTGTATCCTCCTATTGGATTCATCCCTCTTGGTATTTCCTAGAGTGTGGAAAAAACTGGCAATGTTGCTAGTCCAGCGGTATTCAAGGGTATCGTCGCATACTACTGTAGAAGTGTTCGGTTGGTGATTCCTGGATTGGTACAGCGTACCGTACCCCTTTTCCTGCATGCACAGGCTCTCGAGGACTTGGTGACTTCGGCGGGTCTCACTAGCTAGGAGCATGTAATAGATCACTACTACCTAGTAGCTATAGTAATATTAAGTGGAAAAGTCTTCCATTGGTAACCAATAGACAAGTACATGTACAGGTAGCAGCAAGGCTAGAGTGTTGTGGCGGCGTTGCTGCCACTTTGTGTGGACTTTGGAGCGGTACCGGTAGGCAATCGTGCTGTTTCCAGCTCCGCAGTCCTGTTCTGCAAAACTCCACTGCCAACCACCGTCATACATACCGGTAGGGTTGATCTGTAATCTGCAAAACTTGTACGAAGGCGTGAGTTGACTGGGTGGTGGATGGTGATGTTTGAGGTTGGCATGGCTCCCGTCTCCCGTGCACACCTCTGATCCAAGAAGAAGGGGGAGGAGGCACATCCAATAGCTCTACGACTGCAGAGAGTGCAGCTGGCTTCTCATATCAAGGATGAGATCATTCTGTTGCTTGAGCATCGTCAGGAGCATCTCCATTTTGTCATCCATCGTTCCCATCCTAGTTTCAACATTCTCCAGCTTGTTTTCAAATAGTTGCTGTCCCTCTGTCAGGCCTGCCTTCTGAGACAAACCTCCACAGCCATCTCTCAGGGGGACATTCGTATCAGGCTCTGATGGCTGCATGTCATCGTTGCTTAGCTGCAATTCAGTCAACAAGCTCTCATGACTATAAGTAGCTTGGGTGCACTGGGAGGCAAGAAGCCTCTCCCTTCGGGCATCCCTGCTTCGCTGGTCGAGGCTTCTACCAGAACTAGGTCGTTTGAGCATCTCTGAAATTTCCTTTCGAGTTTCCTCCAAGGCTAAAAACCTCTCCCTTTGGGCATTGGAATCTTGTCGTTTGAGCATCTCTGCAATTTCCTTTCGAGTAGCCTCCACTGTGTCCGTTGGTTGGTTTGATTTTCCATTAACGTTCCGAATTACAAAGGTGTTGGCACGAGGTGGCATCCCTACGATTGGACCATGCTTCCTGAATGTCTGTTGTTCTCTTTCCAAACCCTGCTTAGCCAACTCCTTCTTTTCCCACTTGCTGTAGTACTTTGCAACCACACTGACCAGGAGAGCAAATGTCATGGATATCCAGTGGAGTGCAAATGTACCAATCATCTGATGCATTGACAGTGCATCATAGCTCGAGCCATCACTACTGGTGGAACTAGCTGCAGCCCGCGCAGCAGCCTTGAGCCTGCGGTGGTTCCCAGGTGTTGATGAAGCCACTGAAGATACATTCGCCCCAAGGCGACGGCGCCTGCCATCAAAAATACTGACAGTCCCAGTCCCTTCATCTGCAGCGGCACAGTTTAGATCCTGGCTTTTGGACCTATGCTTTTCCCAGAGCCGATCCAGGCCACCTTCATTTAGGAATTCAACAAAATGCACATTCAAGACGTCTCTGGTGAAGCTACTGCAGAGATCACCAGCATCGGCCTTGACTGCAAATCCTGACTTGATTGTCTTGATCTGCCTGCCAACCCACTCCAAATCACAATCAGGGTTATACAAGGACTGTTTTTCGTAAGTCAACCAACTGTCTCTGTACCCCACTGCCAGACCACACTCTCCACGCCGCAGAGCTTTGTAGAGCTCCCGCTGACTTGGCTTGGGCACCAAGATAGCTTTTTGGTACTTGTTGCTGACAAACTCATGTTGGTTAGTGCCTTCCCATGTGCAAATGGGGACACCAAGTAAGACAGCTTGTTCCACAGAGTCAATAACCACAGATGGTCTTTGTGTTTCCACAAAGAGAGAAGCAAGATTGGCAGTGTAGGTGGCTGTTTAGAGGATAGAATGGATGGGTTGTAAGTAGGAAGGTGTAAGTGAGTGGGATAATCCGGGGTTCCAAAAGGAGAAAGTACTGCACACAAGACCAAATGTACCTGTAATGACAAGAGCCCAAACTCCAGTGCTCACCCCAAATATGCGTCCCGCAACACTGTTGGGGGCATACTCAAAGTTCTGGGTGAAGCTCAGTGAGCTTAGGTAGAGATTGTCTGAGAACCACTGGAACCAGGATCTGTCTTCTCTTTCATCACTGAGCTGCTCAATCAGCTGGTAAACGGCAGCAGATAGTATGATTGTCATGAGGATAACAGCCCATACAGCGGGTTCAAAGGGTTTTGCCCAATTCAACAGATTGACATTGCTGGGCACAGGAGGGTCTCTCTGATCCACCAGAATACCAGTTCTCTAAAAAGCTGGCTCCCCTCTCCATTCGCTCCAGGGAATGATCATACCAGCTGACAGCAATATCAAAGTTCTCCACAGACCAAATCAACCTCTCAGTCTGCATGCACCAAAAAACCAAACGAACGTCTGTTAGAGATAGAAGGAGAGCCTGCGGCATCAGGGCTGCCTCAAAAGCAATACAAACATACCCATGACTTGTTGGAGAAGCTAGTTTCCTCCATCACACCAAAGGAGTCTCTCCACGTAAAATTTGCCCGTTCCGCCAAGACATCCATGATTTCTGCTATGATTCCTGGATCCTCGGGGCTCAGTCCCTCTTTTGCTGTGTAACTGAGGAACTCATCATTCATTAAGAGAGCATGGAGCTTCATTCTGGAAAGAGCATCTCGAAGCTGGGTCTTGCCAGTGGCAAAATCCTCGTACCGATCGCAGATGTTTTGTCGTGCATTACCTCCAGCGAAGTCCCCTCCCAAGTTCAGGACAGGGATCTGCCCAATCTCTCCTCCTTTGGCTTGGGCGATGCATGGCAAGGATGCCACAATCAATGCTACAAGTAACAATGCAAAAGTTGGTACTCCTCGGTTCATCTTCCAAACTCAAAAACAGTAAGGCAGATAGTCTAGATAGTGATGAGAGGTGGTCAGGTGGTACTCCTGGTACCGGTAAGTGGTTTGAGGAGATGATGGAGTGATCGAGGACTGTGTCGAGTGGCCAGAGGTTATCAAGCAACACCCAGCGCAAACAAGTTTACAAGTTCTGTGCCAGTAGAAGCATCAAAAATGACTCTCCTTTTGCCTACTAGCTAGTAGGGCCTACCGGCACGACTATGCGACTAGCCTGTGCACGAATCCAACGAGAGAGATAATTTCCTTACTGTGCTTAAAAAATCCCTTTCGCCACGTTGAATACTACCGAAACTGGTTAATAATGCTATTATGCTCAACAATTCTTTGTGTCTTCAATACTACGTGAGAAGAGTACATGTAGTACCCTACCCGAAACTGGTACCACCGTTCATCGCTCTCATTGTGACTTTTGGTACTTCGCAAGCGACAGGCAACAGGTTCACCCCAATGGTCGATCATAGTTCGCCAATAAAAGAGTGCCAGGTTCCAAAGGAGCTCGAAGGGACGGTACCACACAAGGATGAATGATCGGGCAAGGGGAGAGTGGCTGAGCAACACCCACTACATCATCATCTGCTATCTCTTGCTTGCTTGCTGGTTCCATTCCCTCCAAGTACATGTAGCTTGCAATCTTGAAAGAATGCGTCTTAGTACTGTACCGTGTGAGTGCCCAGCCAAGTGGCCAAAGTGGACGACATTGTCCTGATCACCAGTCTTCCAGCTAGAAGCAAGATGGCCAGAGGCCATTGACATGGGTATACCGTGTACACCTCCGATCCAAGAAGACGGGGGAGACTGCGAGGTGTCCATGGACAACCGAAACTTTTCTGGAGACCAAAAAGTTATTCCAAACTACTGTAGCTGTTGCCAGTTTCTCAGCCAAACAAATGCCAAATGCCTTCTGTACCCGAAACTTAGAGTGCTGAAACGAATTCCGGTACCGCTTTTAAGCTTGATGACAATGACCTTCTGAAGAGACATACTTTCTAGAAAAGGGGACCCAGCACGTTGATGACACATGCAGGCACGCAAGGTGGCATGAGCATCTCATGAGCTGTGGCCCGGGGAATGGCATGACAAAGGGCACGAAGCATAAAGGACGGGAGGTTGAAGTCTCTCTCTCTTTCTCATTTCCATCACATTGCTGCGTCTGCTTCTTTCAGTTGGTTCATTCTCTCAAAGGGATTGAGTGTTGTTTTGCTGTCGTCGAGGGTTTAGTACGTAGATTTGAACTGTGAGCCAGGATGCCTATTTGTGGCGACAGGTTGCCCATGCACACGTACGTTGGAAGAAGTGGGACGGATCATGCGTGTTCTTCAATGCAAGTTCGAAGGGTGCCATGACAGCCATGTAGTAGCAATGCACTCATTGTCACCACTCCAAACAAGCCACAATTCAGAATGGCATGCCCGTGTTTGGGATCCATACCGTACGAACGCACTCGAAATATCCCCGGGAGTTTGGGGTATGGACGATTTTTCAGGCAGGACGGTTGGCGGCCGAGAAACTTTTGGATCTGATCATGGCGGCTGGCGCTGTCATGTCAGTCCACAGCGGATGCTGCTCCTATCGTATCTCCGGATCCACTCATAAATGAACGCCACGGAAACCAGAAGCAACGGGAGTACAAGGCATCACACATTTTTTATCGGGGCACTTACTTTTACGTTGGGAGACAATGGGACATTGCCGCTCTTGCAGCTTGAGGAAGTTTTCGTGAAACAGGAAGAATCTTACGGCAGAATTGATTCCTTCAGGATTTCATGGAAGATTGTCCTTACAGTCATTGTCACGAGACGAGCCTTGTTGAATCCGTAATCCAGGCCTGCCAATTCCATTCCTGTTCTTGCTTCCAGCCGCAAATTCTCGCATCCTTCGACACCTACGAGGCTATTTACAGAGCATTTCCCCAAAAGACATGGCATTTTCCATCAGTCTCGATCAGTATGGTACCTACCTCCAAGCCAATCTAGTAGGCACAATGGCGGTCCTCTCTACGCGTCCACAGGACAATCACTGGGACTCATTGGTCCACACACACACCCGATTTGGATAGTAAACGGGAGGCAGATTCATTGATTATGTGTTCACAATGCAAATGAAATGACGCCGCTGGGATGCGAAGAATTACAGGGTTATCAATCTTCCATCTTGCCCCATCCCAACCAGGGAGAGAATCTACTACAGAAGCAGCATCGACGTGCCACTATGCACCGATCGAAAACAAAATCGGGGATTTTTCATGAGGATCGGGCTGCGGCGGCACAAGAGGCAGCCGATGGCTTACTTACTTTGGAATCGAATCACACTCCTGATGGATCGAGTGCAGGCCGTGGGCAACAAGAAGGAACGCAACTACCGTAGCGGAAAGATCAAGGCGTATTGTCAGGACCGAGTCGAATCGCGTCGATGGAGTCTTTACACAGATCAAACAAATCATAAAGTACAGGCAGAAGCCGTCCGATTCTGCCAAGATTTGAATATTCCCGTCTTTTGGTGTATTGCCCGTGATTGCTGAAGCTAGCCGAACCGCATTTTGCAAAACCAATACACACGCACCATGGACGAATATCAAGCGGGTTACGCCATGGGACAGGAAATTGATGGCGCGGGGAACGAAATACGGGTAAACTGGTCGGGAGCAAAGCAACTGCTGAAGCAAGGACTAGCTGCGGCCAACAACGTTGCCGCCGGGCAAACATCTGCGGAATAGTTGAGTATCATTGCTTGTCGGCGTTAGCGACAACAAAGGGCACATACATGAGAGTGACTTTGGAAGAGGCAATTACCGTGGGAGGGGACGCATTATTTGAGCACGTTGGGATGCCTCTCACCGGGTACAGGTTTCTTCCTGGAGGGTCACACGCACAATAGAGCTATCCTGGTCTTACCTTTGTCACTGAGGGACGGTCCGACACTGTGTACCAGGCGCTTCGAGATGGATCCCTGGTGGCAACAACCGATCTTCAACAGTATGCATACTTGAGGGGATACTATCCAGTGGCCGTCCTAACGTGGTTGAGTCAATCAAGGAAACTGCTGAACTCAAAGTTCCTTCCTTCTGGTTGGTGTTTGACGCCGCCTCGGATGCAGAAGCATTGTATTTTCCGATTTGTTTCCCACCCGCCCCGAAGATCAGAACAAGCACCAGCTCGATAATATCGAACCCGTTGGATACACCTTGTTGATCATCATTGCTGCATGTGCCTTCTACTGCATCGGCTGGGTGAATGTCCGTATAGTGCGTGCTGCCCAAGGTATCTTCTTCTCGAGAACAATCTGCGTGGACGGTGTACTGATGGCAACTACGATACTGCCGCTGAGTTTCGACGATAAAATGTTTCACGAGAATGGCGGTTGCGCCGGATGTTGAATGCAAGGCCTGCGATAGATCATGCACGGCTGTGCCGTGGCTGTTCACTGCGGTAAGATGCTCTGCAAGTCTGCTTGACTTGGACTGCGCCATCGTCGACCTGTGTATAACAAAAACAACTGTATCAACCTCTTATCGGACGTTTGTATTTAGTTCCCTATAGCTGATTCGATTCTATGACACAAACGCAGAGCTCTGCTCTAGCGTTCTTCGTCGTAAAAAACTTGGGTCTGCGCTCGTTCACAGTGCCAGTCTTGCACGCCTGGGCTGTGCCACCGGTCTTTGTTCGTACATGACTGGTTCCAATCACATGCCGTACCTGGAACCTGTGGAGCCAGCAAGTAGGGTTGAAATGTACTGGGAGGTACATCAGCGTTACATACACGGAGAGTGCAGCTGGCTTTCATATCATAGATGAGATCGTTTTGCTGCCTCAGCATGGCCATGAGCATATTCATTTTGTCATCCATCCTAGTTTCAACATCCTCCAGCTTGTTTTGAAATAGTTGCCGTTCCTCTGCCAGGTCTGCCTGCTGAGACAAAGCTGACTGATAACAAGGGGTAACACTGCGAGAGCCATCTCTCAGGGGGACGTCCCGATCAGGCTCTAAAGGCATGGAGTTGTCGTTATCTTGTGAATCCAGCCGAATTACAAAGGTGTTGGCACGAGGTGGCATACCTATGATTGGACCATGCTTTCTGAATGACTGTTGTTCTCGTTCCAATCCCCGCTTAGCCAAGTCTTTCTTTTCCCACTTGCTGTAGTACTTTGCAACCACACTGAATAGGAGAGCAAATGTCATGGTAATCCAGTGGAGTGCAAATGTACCAATCATCTGATGCATTGACAGCGCATCAGAGCTTGAGCCATCACTACTGCTGGTACCAGCTGCAGGTCGTGCACTGAGCCTTCGGTGGTTCCCAGGTGTGGAGGCCTCGGAAGATACTTTTGCCCCAAGGCGACGGAGCCTGCCCCTGTCTTCTGTGGAGGCACAGTTGAGATCCTGGCCTTTGGATCTATGCTTTGCCCAGAGCTGTTCCAGGCCACCTTCATCTCGGAATTCAACAAAATGCACATTATATACATCTCTGACGAAGCTACTGCAGAGATCGCCAGCATCAGCCTTGACTGCAAAACCCGACTTTATAGTTTTGATGCTTCTTCCCACCCACTCCAGATCACAATCAGGGTTGTACAAGGACTGTTTTTCGTAAGTCAACCAACTGTCTCTGTACCCCACTGCCAGACCACACTCTCCACGCCGCAGAGCATAGTAGATTTCCCGCTGACTTGGCTTGGGTACCAAGATAGCTTTTTGGTACTTGTTGCTGACAAACTCATGTTGGTTAGTGCCTTCCCATGTGCAAATGGGGACACCAAGTAAGACAGCTTGTTCCACAGAGTCAATTACCACAGATGGTTTATGTCTTTCCACAAAGAGAGAAGCAAGATTGGCAGTGTAGGTGGCTGTTTAGAGGATAGAATGGATGGGTTGTAAGTAGGAAGGTGTAAGTGAGTGGGATAATCTGGGTTACCATAAGGACAAAGTACTGTACTCAAGACCATACCTGTAATGACAAGAGCCCAAACTCCTGTGCTCACTCCAAATATACGCCCCGCAACAGTGTTTGGGGAATACTCAAAGTTCTGGGTGAAGCTAAGTGAGCTTAGGTAGAGATTGTCTGAGAACCACTGGAACAAGGATCTGTCTTCTCTTTCATCACTGAGCTGCTCATTCAGCTGGTAAACTACGGCAGATAGTATGATTGTCATGCCAATAACAGCCCATACAGCCAGTTCAAAGGGCTTTGCCCAATTCAGCAGATTGACATTGCTCCCCACAGGAGGGTCTTTCTGGCCAGTCAGAATCTGGCTTCCATCATACCATGCCTCTGAAAAGCTGGCACCCAACTCCAATCTTTCCAGGGAATGGTCGTACCAGCTGGCAGCAATATCAAAGTTCTCTACGGACCAAAGCAACCTCTCAGTCTGCATGGATAAACCAAATGAATGTATGTGTGAGACCTGAGACGGAAGGAGAGCCTGGAGGAGCAGGGATGCCTCACATATGAGGCCATGCCCATGTATACATACCCATGACTTGTTGTAGAAGCTACCTTCCTCCATCACACCAAAGGAGTCTCGCCATGTAAAATTTGCCCTTTCCGCCAAGACATCCATGATCTCTGCTAACATTCCTGGATCCTCAGGGCTCATTCCCTCTTTGGCTGTGTAATTGAGGAACTCATCATTCATAAAAACTGTAGTTAGCTTCATTCCAGAAAGTGCATCTCGAAGCTGGGTCTTGCCGGTGGCAAAATCCTCATACCGATCGCAGATGTTTTGTCGGGCACCACCTCCAGAAAAGTCCCCTCCCAAGTCCAGGTGGACAGGAACCTGCCCAATCTCTCCTCCTTTGGCTTGGGCACATGGCAAGGATGCCAATACCAATGCTCCAAATAGAGCAAAGGTTGGTACCAGTACTCCTCCTTTCATCTTTCAAACTCAAAAACAGCAAGGCAGATAGTCTGCTAGATAGTGATGATGAGAGGAGCTGTGGAAGGTGGTCAGGTGGTAAGTGGTTTGAGGACTGGTGAACTGCAGCGGTGAGCAATATTTGGAGCAGGTAGTCTAAGTGGAAACAAAAAATAAATAATAACACGGGAAAGAAGGCGTCAAGAAGTCAAAACGTCTCTTTGGCTAGCTAGCTAGAGCTACATTAGTAGACTAGCTGTTCCATGCCAGTTTGTTTGTTACGACTTCGAAGGCAAGAGCCCTCGAACGAGATTCGATTGACAGTCTGGTACATTGTAGTCAAAGATAGTCACTGATAGCTATCAAAGGCAAGGTGGTACCGGTACAGCTGTTCACAAGCAGACAAAGGGACAAGACAGAGACATAGAGACAAACATCCTTACTGGTACTAACAAAATGCAAAGGCTTGCCTATTTCATGTACTGCGACTGTACAATGTACATAGCTGTACATGTACTACATCGAAAGATCCATTGCTGCAGCGATTAATATCTACAGTACTAGCTGGCTAGTACTCGTAGTACGGTAGTAATCTGTGCCGCTTTTGGATAAGCTACCGTTTCGGACCGTTTTTAGTCGCAAGCAGACAAAGAGACAAAATAGAGACATAGAGACAAACATCCTACTGGTACTAGCCAAATTCGCAATGGCCCTGCTACATCGATTGAGGCCGAGTACTCTTTATTTTAAAAGTTGCTGATATTGCTCGATGACGATGACATTGTCTGCCAAGTTTGGGGCTATTCACGGGCGTCGACGTTATGACTATTACACTGCCTTTGTTCCTCACTACCAATAAGTAAGACTTAAAGTCAGCCTTTTCCCTTCGGACTGCAGACGTTTTAGCGACTGTGCCAAGGAATCTTGCCTCCGGGAGCTCCTCGTGAGTCAGACAGCACATCACAATGATGGATGATCTAGACCCTATGTGGGGGCAAGAAGAGAGTGGATGAGCAACATGCACTACTTCTGCTATCTCTTGCTTGCTGGTTCCATATCCTCCAAGAAGCTTGCAATCTTGAAAGAACTTCAATGCTTAGTATGAGTGCCAAAGTGGACAAATAAATCTCTAGTGGACAATATTGGTCCTGTTCACCAGCCTTCTAGCGGGCTACCGGTAGCCAGAGGCCAAATCTAAGTTTGCCTTCAAGTCCTAACAAACCAAATAGTCCAGGCAGAGGGCATAAAATTGGTTTGGGTGGTGGATGGCACGTTTTGGGGTGCCCTTGTCATGGCTGGGCGAGACTGCGAAGTCTCTCCAAGCTCGAAAGCACTGGCATAGTCTACACGGGATCATGGGATCACATTTATTTGCTCCATCCCCCAGGTTTGGTAATATTTACCCCATGTGTCCAGGTTAAGACTTCGTTCAATTCATCTTTTGCCCTCAACTATCGGTACCAGCTAGCTAGCTGGCCTTTTGAACTTTACCTGTGTGTACTGTAGTGTGTAGTGTGCGGTGCGGTTTCCCTGGTAAGCTTAAGCTAGCGTACATATGGTGCGATTTCCCTAGTAAGATTAAAGCTAGCGTACATATGGTGCGGTTTCCCTAGTAAGATTAAAGCTACTGGTACGGTACCGCAACAACGAAAATGCTACGTCACCTATAGCCATCAGTGGAAGCCTTGGGTTTTTAAGCAACATGCAAACCTTTTCCTTTAGAAACATGCTAGTTGAGGGCACTAGCCTACGGCTGTCTGTTCTTGGGTGCAGACATGCAGATCTCATAGTACATGTACTGGTACTAGTACTGTACTGGTACCAATGCTCTGGCTAGAAAGAAGAGGGAAGAAGAGTTGAAGAAAGAAATGCGAGACATGACATGCACATCACCGTACACGACTACATGTACCATCCAAGGAAACCGCTCGGTTGGGGATGACTCAAGTGCTGGTTGTTCGAGGGCAAGCATTGGCGCTTCTGACCTGAAGATTCGAAGGCGAGAAACACATCTTTGGATCGTTGCTGGAGAGTTACAGACACGCCTGGGTAGATTTTCCAGGGCACGACCATCGTGCAGCTCTGCCATGAAAAGCGGCTCCCTACCGGTACGTCCAAGCACTGGCGACGTTAAATCGAGCAGGCAAAAGCAGGATGATTTTGTTCCTCCATCTTTGGCAACGATACTGTTGGATCTGTGCACCGTGCAGATATCCCGACGCTTCCAAGCAATCGTCTTGTCTTATGTTGTGATTCCAATGGACAATGGATTCCATCAGGAGCTTTACCAACCACAGATGAAGATCAAGACGCTAGTAACACCAGTGACGGCATGGCGAAAATACAAGAGGAGACGTGTGAAAGCAATGGCGGGCATCTGCGTGACAGCAGTGACGGCATGGCGAAAGTACAAGAGGAGACGTGTGAAAGCAATGGCGGCATGTAGGTGACATCAGTGATGACACGGGGAAAGAGCAAGAGGAGGCGCGTGAAAGCGATGGCGGTATGTAGGTTGCACCGACTACGAAGTCGACTGATGTTTTGAAACCTCCAATCTGTACGAAGGCCGTTCGTGGGCTGTTTCACAAGTTACCGAAAGATGATGGTGGCACCATCCTCCGTTTGCATCAGGGCTGCCAAAGGTACCGGTACCAGTAGTAGTGAGAGCTACGATACTGGGTTCACGTGGCGCTTCAAGGCGACGCAATGTTGTTCGAGCTTCGATCCTTGAAGGCATGGCGTGCATGATGTTGTATCCAAAAGGATGGCCTCAGCGTCTAGCTAGAACGCCGCCTCCGAAGGGGATCGGTATCCTTATCTTGATTCTATTATAGCTTTAGTTTTATCTTGTCTCGTTTGCATACAATGCACTTCACCCTTCCCTCATAGCCCCTCTTCCAAATGCCTTAGAAGTGCACTGGCAGGTGTTTCTCTGCTTCTAATCGATTTCCTGGACTTCTTCTTCGATGACTTCTTGGTTGTTACTTCATCTTCGATAGCGACTTGTCCCAGCCTTTCCAGCAGTTGCTTCTTGTCCATATTCAAAAAGAAGTCAATTTCTTCCTTGGAGGCTCCGTGCTTGTGTGTCTTCTTGCGAGAACCAATGGTGCTTTCATGGCCCAATTCGCTAATGTCTGCCATCATGTTGGTCTTGCGATTCTTTCGGCTCTGCTTGCTGTCGCTACTTCCAGTGGAGCTCATGGTGTGTCCTGAAACACTCTCTTCAGAATCAACCTTGGAATTGTTCTTGCTACCGACGATGGCCTTTTTGAGAGAAAGCATGGTTGCGTGTTGTTGTTGTTCTCCGTTACTGGCTTCCCGGATGGTTGATTTTTGATTTGTGAGCCCTTCCAACTTTTTTGTTCAGCGCACGAGCAGCCGAGAGCATGGATGCATTCCATAACCAGTCAAATTGCAATTGCATCCTCTCAAAGGCTTTGAAGGCTCTTCCATTTCCTGCTCAGAATGGCCGAAGACTTTCAATTGTTAACCTTTTATTTAAGATTAAGTTTGCGAAAACTATAGGCTTGCACGATACACGTATCATAGAGCTAACAATGCTAGTGCAGCTCATCATGCGTACCGGCAACAGTAAGTATTTTGGCGGCAGGTTGTACATACAAAAACAGCCATTGCACCCGGTACCGGTACCGTTACGATTGCGGCCAAAATGTGGAGATCTTTCGTCAAAGAGCTTCGTTTTTACACTGTCCCATCCCATTCTGCAACCACTTGCTGACTCGACTCTGGAAGTGGCAGGTTCTGAGGTTTGTAGTGCTTGCCTTTTGCCTTCTTTTGATGTTCCAAAAAGTAGACTGGAAGATCAATGTGGATGGTGGATGTTTCACCTGATTGGTGCTCCTGTACAGCGCCGGCAGCGCCCAAGAACAATAGTCATTGCATGCATACCAGGTACTCCAGTGTTGGTTTATCTTATTAAAAAGGTACAGGAGCACCTTACATCATTCTTACGGGAAGAAGGGGAACAAAGGAAGAGCCTGACAGAACGCTGCTCACTCACTTTTTGTGCTCTTCGAGGTTCTTAGATTCGATTCTTCATTCATCATTCATTCCTTCACTTTTACAGCTCACAGAGTACGTAGTCTACATGTTAACTACTGTGCGTAACTACAGCAAGGAAGCAGTGGTGATAGTGTATGGTCTTTATGGCACAGCAACTGCCTGCTGCTCACCAACTTTCTAACTTTAATAAAAACTTGTATGGGTTGCTGCAGTGGCAAAGATGCGGTACTGAGTGCCATCTTGTTTTTCTGGGCTTGTTGGCCTTTCTTTGCCTGATGTTGGGCCTGAGCACTGAAGTTTCTGTCCGCCCTTGGTTGTTGAGGCGTTTTTATGGCTTGGGCTCGTGTTGCGGGCCAAGCGGAAAACAATTGCCAGCCTGGAAATTGAATGCTGCAAATCAGGTAGGTTTTAAAAGACGCTTTTGAGCGATGGGGGCAATTCCTGGTTCCCTGGCTCCGAACTGGCTGTGTCTTGACCTCGCGCCAACAAGATCATGATATACAGGCATCTGATGAGCCGCCAAGACCAGAGTCACCCCAACGGAAGATTGAATGAAGGTGACCACAGCAAAGATTTCAGTGCTCGTGGGTTGCCAGCCTCCCGCTCTACAGTACACGAATGGTTCTGAGGTGGGGCAAGAGCCTTCCGTGAGACCTTTCTGACATCTCGTCTGATGCTGGATAGATCAGGCCAGACAATCGCTCCAAGCGAAAGCAATACCTCGATCTAAAGTAGTCTACACTGTAGTGTTTGAACCTGTACAGCTTTCTGAGTTTTTACCTTTGGTTGCTTGCATGAGATGCATTCACTAACTCTCTCTAGCAATCGATATTGGCATTACTATCTGCTAGGTTTGACCATACTAGTACACGCATTCTCAGCTCTTGCCCAAAATGTGTTCCTTCAAATCCACTATTTCGCCATTCTTGGTCCAGGTTCCATAGCGATCGCCGTCCGCACCTGGACGACTGGTCAAGTACCAAATGGTTTCTGAGTGGCAAACTACAACCACCACATCTGCTTCTTGGCACGTCTTGTCTTCACGTAGAAACTCTCGTAAGGAGGCTATTCGTTCTTGTGCTTGGGCGGTGGATTCAGTCCCCTCGGGCAATCTCTGTTTCATCCGCTCCCAAGTTTCTTGAGGAGATTGTTGAAATCGCCACCAAAAACCACCGTCTGGTGTGGCTTGCTGCTCGACCAGGTTCATGTCAAAAGGGGCTGGAAACTCCTTTTTCAGATTGGCCACAGGGGTCCCAATATCACAGGAATCCATCAAAATTTCGGCTGCCAGAGGCTGCACAATGACAGTTGTAGGCTTCCAGTTGGAATCCACCTGAGCCGCCCCCTGAAAGATACCTTGGGCGGTCTGCAATGCCCGTCGTAGTGGAGATACTACAAAACGCACATTGATGCTAGTTGTTTCTTCTTCTCTTGCTGTTGCCGAGAGTAGCTCCATGAGTTCCCGACCAGCTTGACGACTCTGCTGTGCCCCCAACTCGGTGATGTCGCAGTCTGGAGCATACAAATCTTCGCCGTAGCGTTCATCCTCGCTGGGATACTTTTCTCGGAGGACGTTCCAAACCTCGGGAAAAGAAGAAAAATCGACCACCAGAGAGGGACAGAATAAAGTTTACTGTGAGCGAAGTGCCATTGTCATGGTCAGGCCCACATTTTCAAGCCTCCTTCTCTTACCGATTGTCCATGCCGAATCGCCAGTATCTTGCGGGGCATCCTCTTATTCGACGGTAGGATCCAGATTGCATCGACAGATTGTGAGGACACCAGCAGATGCAAATACGACTCTACCTTTTTTGAGAAGATCCGAGTAGAATCATGGACGTAACCATGCCGGAGGTATCCTCGGAGCGGATCGTCAGGGAAGATGTCTCTGTTACAATGATGATTCGATTCGATTCTGCTTCAGGCACTTCCAATCTTCAAGTTCCCTCCAACATGTCCTACCTTTGAAAGACCGCTTCACTGGCTTTTATTTTTGCCCCTGAAACAACACGTCGTGGATGATGAGGAATCTTCAATCACAAGCTGGAGAGAAGCCTTTGAATCGCCTCTGCAACAAGTACCGGTGCCTACCCCATGCATAGCTAGCTAATAGTGCCACCTGGTATCCAAAATAGAGGATGAGGCTTTGGCGCAAGAGCATCCAGCAAATGCATCCATCTGATATATCTCATATACTGTTTGGGATGCTACTGGAACAAAAGAAAGTGCTTAGCTAGCTAGTGGTATCTACCAAAATAGCCAACAGGAGGTGCGACGGAGAGCTAAACATAGCTTGCTTAATAAATGAAAGCTTTGTCCTGTCCCACGACCACAACAGTACCTTCAGGCGTTCCTGCTCTGGGACAAGAAGCCTTCAACCCAGACTTTCAAGTCCTAAGTGGCCCTTGACAGCACATCTTCTTCATTCCAAGGGCAGCCATGTTCAATTGCATATTTCAATATTTTCCAATGGCCATGATTTGCAGCCAAGTCATATGTTCTTTTGTGCCATGGACAGTCATTCTTTTCATAGGCATACTTCAGAATTTCAAAATTGCCCTTTTTAGTAGCTTCCAAGCACACACGTTCATCCCATGGACAGCCATTTTCAATGGCATATTGTAGGCATTCCAAGTGGCCATTTGCAGCAGCCTCGTAGCAGGTTGCTTTACCCCAAGGACAGCCATTTTCATGGGCATATTGGAGGCATTCAAAGTTGCCATTTTGGGCGGCAAGTATGCATGTAGAGGAGCACCATCTGCATCCATGCTCGTGGGCATACTGCATGATATTCAAATGACCTTTGCTAGCAGCATTCCTTAGAGTGAATCTATCCATTCGACAACCGTTTTCATGGGCACACCTCACGATTTCCAAATGGCCACCCAAGGCAGCTTCACTGCATGTTGATGCCTCCCATCCACAGCCATTGTCACGGGCATATTGGAGGACTTCCAAATGACCAAATCGAGCAGCACGATCACAAGTCCTTGAATCCCAGGGGCAAAGGCCATGCATGCAATTTTTCCGTTCTTTGGAATGGAATGGTAGCTGGCTCAGGACGCTTTCTTGTGTTGGAGACTTTCGCCCCTCCCATAACTCGCACGACATCGCTTCACCACTGCACCGGCTTACTACCCGTAAAGACGTTATCGCTGGATCTTCGGGCTCGCTCGCCATGGCGACAACAAAAAGATCCGCTGGCCCAAGTCACAAGCGGACAATGCCCAAAAGAGCGGCGCTCCTGTTGTGCTCTTCACAATACTATATATAGATAGAAAAGATGGGTGTCCAGTACCATGGCGCAACGCAATCGGATGCTCGGTTCAGCGTGTCCAAGAGAGAGCCCGATTTGGTGCTGCGCCCTACGAAAGAAGGAATGGATTTTACACTGCGTGTTCTTTCGGCCAATCGCATGTCCAAAGTGGTGGAGGTCGTCTGCGATTTTGGGGCGGATGGCAGCAAGAAGATCTCGCAGGGAGAAGTGAGAACTCTGTTTGAAGCCCTCGGAGGAACGGCCGAAGAAGACGAGGACATGGAAGATGTGGACATGGTGACGGACGAATACCAACCTTCCAACAATAAGCAAACTTACAAGGGCATGCCACTCATGGAATCTCTTTCCATTGTCTGTCAGAATGCCACCGAAGACACTCCCTCCTTTGTATCTGGGTTGACCTATTTCGTGGCGTCCAGCCTGTCGTTGGCACGCTTTACGAGACTGAGTTTGGAAGGCGTCAATCTACGGGGGACCGTCTTGGAATTGCGAGGATTGGCGGAAACCTTTCGGATGCATCCTCGTATGCACTATGTGCAACTGCAAGCGTGTTGGTTCACTCCCGAACAACAAGCCGATATGAGTGTCCTAGAACAAGTCTTTCAAGAACAAAAACGACGCTCGTCGTCGGCTCGATTCAGTATTACGTCGTCGCAGCGGCATTTGACCGATAATGATACTCCTTTGTCAACGGGCGGCGGGCTACGACAGCGCAAGGAATCGGCTACTACCAACGGCAATAACAAATATTCCAAGGACAATGCTATCGATGACGATGATGATGATGGCCGTGTGAAATCGTCGTGGTTGAAAAGGCTGTTCCAGAAATGTTTCTGCTGCTAGTGATCTTTTTATCAAGACGCTTGCTTTGGTGATTCCATCAACAAGCTCCGTAAAAATATGGAAAAGCACTGCTATTCTACTACGAAACTTCATTCAACAATCCACACCCAGTTTTGGAAAATGAGGCATGGCGACACGGGACGCTTAGCAGCAAAGCGACCACAATTTCTACATGATAAATAAATATTAGGACAAACACCATCTATCTCAAGAGTAGATTTGGCGTGTAACGTAACAACTAACTGTAGGCGTCAACACCTCGACTCTTCTTTCTTATTGTCGTAGTGTACTTTGCTCGTACCCGTAGTTGCGCTGTCCACAGCATCGGTGGCATGAAAAAGCCGAATTTTCTCTACGGATCATGCTTCCATCAATCCGCCAATCGTTCGAGAAAAAAGAGGAGAACAGGAGAGAGTCTGTTCTTTTCGCACTCCCACTACCTACCTACCGTACGGTATGCATTCGCTCCTACGCTCGGCACAGGTCATGGGCTGTCTGCTACGCCGTAGCGTGATTGCAAGGAGCGTTTTGTTCCCGGCTTTCGGCCAGAGACTCCTGGTTGGAGGTGCTTTCCTTCCAGCGACGATTCGGCTCAAGATTACCCTGTACTTTCGACGAAGGAGCAATGTACGACGAACTTATTCTCAAACCAGAGCCATGTCTTAGTTTGTTACTATTGCTATTCTTTACTCGCGTGACTCAAGAACGAGTCTCAAATGTGCTAAGAGTGCTTATCGTCCAAATGGTTTGTGGTCAGCCATTCGTTTGCAAAACGCTCTTGCTTACGACTGTGGTATTGGCGTATGCTGGCTCACGGGGGGACAAATAAAGAACGACGAGTCCATGTTTGTTTTTTCCAAAAGCTGTCGACGAAATCCTTGAATGGCTTGCAAGTCGACGGTATACATGCCATTCGCATTGCCACATCGTTCTTGTATTTGCTCCACGGGAATATCATCATTCATTTTCGTGGTGTTGTTGTTGCTGGTGTTGCTATTTTCTTGCTGTTTGGCTTGATGACTGTCGTGCCAACAGGCACAAACATCGGCTTGACATTCAATTCCATTCCTCACACAAGGACACTCTTGATTGCTACAACACGCTTCTTCTTCGACGGCACGATGCAATAACAGCTCGAGTTCGTCGCGGGTCGTTTGGGCATCCGGCAACAAATGTCGTTTTTTCAATTCGTCCTTGACGCGTTTGACATTCATGCGCCGATGATGCGCCTTTTTACCGGCATTGGGTGGCAAAAGGTAGACATCCAATTTGCGGCACGTACAACCGGCATGGCCAACGCCACCGCGTTGGAATCGCAATTCTTCCAATTCGTTGCGGACGTGATGAACCAAGACTTGTGGAAATGTCTCGTTGTAGCGTTCGACTTTTTGATTGCTATTGTTGGCAGAGGAAAAAGATCCCGATCGTTCTCGTTTGCTGCTGCCGCGTGTCGCCATGGGATGCTGTGAATTGTGTTTTCCATTCTTGTTCTTGCTGTCGCGTCTTTTATTGCTCTTACTACTACTACTAGCGCTAGTAGAAGAAGTACCAGTACTCGTAGTGGAGTTGGATCGTTCGCGTCGAATGCCATGATGGGAGGACGAATTTTCCATGATTTCATCTTCTGGGGTGGAGGAGAGCAACAGAATATTCATGCGCTGTTCTTCTTGCAACAAATGAAAGAGTGGATTCTTGGCCTTGTACTTGTAATCCCATTGTCGTGTTTCCAATACTTCGCCATCAGTAGTAGTAGTCGAGACTCCCTCTATTTGTTGCGCTCGTATTCTCAATCGCTCTTGTTTGGTAGTCTCGTAGTCGTCGACGGGAGTGGATTCTACTTCCCCGACAAGGACATCGCCCAATCCTAGTGGCCATCCTCCATCGTAAGGAACGACATCCGTGCCCAAGACTCGTTCAAACGAATGCGCCGTCACCGATCCAAACGACACCGTCTTTTTGGTTGTTGTCTCGGTCATGGTCGTATCTTCTTCTGTAGTACATGCTGCTGCAGCAGGAGACTTGTTCTTTTTCTTCTTCTTTTTCTTCTTCTTCTTTTTGCGCTTTTTGGCAGGAGCGGCTTCACTACTACTACATGTCGTAGCAGTACTGGCCTCGGTGGTCGTCGTGCTGGCGTCGGCATTCATGGATTCTTCTTCACTGTCATCAATGTAATCATACTGTGCCACCTCTTCTTCGTCTTCCTCGTCGCTGCTGTCGATAATCTTGAGCAGATACGACTTGGACGGAGGTGGAGGACCCGGCATGGTGATGTATTCGATTCACCAAATGTAACCAAATACAAGCACCTTTGCTTTCTATGGATATCTTTCTGCGACGATGAGTTGTTGTTGGATTTTCTCACTTCGATCGATCCGGCTCTGTGCTTTTCGATCCAAACCCTCAACACTTCTTCGTGCACGCCTTGCATGCCGATTGACAGCTGTTGTGGTATCCCAGGTGTAAGTTCTTTGAAATTTGGATCCAAGAATCGACCAAGTCGACTCCTCATTAGATCGTGACTAAAGCAACGGCCACTTTCTTTCCCATCCAGCACACAAACACATCATCGATTGATTGATGGAACGAAGAAGTGAAAGTCATTGACCACAAGCCACAAAGAGAAGATGATCCAATTCCCCTCTTCCGCTCTACTACTACTTTCCTTGTGTTTGCTCGTCTCGAGCACCTCTGGCCAAGAATGGTGGTTAACCTCCGAGGATGATAATGGCAGTAATAAGCCACCCGTCTTTCCCACGGCGTGCGTCAAAATGGCCCTCTACAACAACACGCAATGCGAGGGACATCCCACACAACAGGTCAAATACCCCACTTGGCAAAGACCCAATGATTGTCCCTGTTGTAAGTTTTCATCCCGATTAAAAATGAAAATTTGTGAAACCAGATCTGCCGCCTCTTGTGTGCGTGTTTTCTCATGGTCCTCATCTCATTATTGCCCTGTCACTACTGTCTGTAATGTATAGTCAAAGACCCCACACACCCGTACGCATCGGTGGACGGTCAATACTGTGATACATCGCAAGAAATATACCATTTGAGCATTTATCCGTTGGATGGACATTGTCAAACCAATCAGTACACCAAATCCTTTGCACCCGTCAAGATTGCCGTACCGGCGGGACAGTGCTACCTGGGATTCAAAATCAAACACTGCAAACAGGGTCCTTGTATTGGCGATGATGACAGCGAAGAAGTTGTGGAAGGCAATGTGTCGACGATTCTGCAACGGTATTTGCAAAATGCAGGTGAGGCGGCAGAATCCTTCTTGCGAGGAGGTGCCTCGATGAACGTGAACTAGCAGGACAAACGCATGATCATGCAATCAGCTAAAATACACAAATCATCATATAAACTTCAATGTGCTTTATTTGAAGATGTGGTTGTACCTCGGGTGCAGTCTAGGTCAGACAGTACAGTACGCACCGTCCATGGAGCTGCTTCCGGCTGTCATGCCAGTCCACATTTCTCTGTTCAGCGGGTGGCACACGAGCGGTTCAGGTCGTGCGGATGAAACGCTCTGCCCGGATCCAAAGGAGCGAACGAATAACCAGCCGCTCCTTCCCTTCTCGGATGGTTCCCGTACAGTAGGTGACGGTAGGGTAGTAGTCTACGTTATTGGTCTTTTGCTACACCCCAGCTAGATAGATTGTCGCGAGGCCTTTCTTCTGCAAAGGTATATTGTAATTGTAATAGTAATAGGACACACTGGAAAGAAACGGTGATCATTAACCCATGATTGCGTGAACAGCTGTCATATCCGCACGGTAGCTCCCGTAAAAGAGGTACGTGCAACAGGTTCCCATGAAGGTGCTTCCAATGCTGCAAATGGAATTGATTCAATCCCAATCTTCGAATACCACAAGTACAGACATGCGCTATCTTCCTGCTCTTGTCTACCGTTCTACAGCCTTGACTTTCCACAAACGGAGCGCTTTCCGAATGGCCAATTTGGCATCTTGTAGCTTTTGTTTGCCTGCCCCTGGATCACACGGAGCTGGATCAGACTCCTTTTCTTCCTTGTCGTCGTCCTCGTCATCTGGCAATTCTTCCAACAAAGCCGTGAGTTCCGCCAATTTAGCTTGCGCGGCGGCAACCTGATCTCGTATTTGAGAAACATTTTGTAGAACCGCAACTTCATCCGACAAGAGGGAATCGGCATTGGAATGGAGGTCGTCGTCATCATCGTCGCTCAAAATGCTGTCTCCGCCGTCGTCATCTTTGTCGTTTTTATCATCTCCCAATACCCGTTCCAGGACGACTTGGTCTTGTGCTTGCGCAATAATATCCTCCACTTCTTGGTGTGCGGATTTGCGAGGTTTAAACGTGAGTGGTGCCACGGGCAAGGAAAACCCCAAACGATCCATTCCCTTGTTCACATCTTCGAGTCGTTCTTGCGAGGATTTGAGTGATTTGGGAAGATTGGCATTCAATTGTTGCAGTCGTTCTTCCAATGATATTTCTGGGTTGACGGCTGGCTGCTCTGTAGCAGTAGTAGTTGTCGTGTCAGCTGCTGCTGCTGCTGTGGTTGTTGCTGTGGGAAAAGTCATTCCGTCTGTCAAATCCAATATTTCTTTCTTGGCAAAGACAGAGGCGAAGAGTCGCAGGCGTTCCTTGGCCTCCTCTACGGAGAGATCGTCGCAGGCATATTTTCGGGTAGTTGCCGCTAATTCCACATCTTGTTCATGTTCGACTTTGAGTCCTACCATGAAGGCTTCACGGGCACGATGCAAATACTCGTAACTTTGATCCTCGTATAATTTAGCAATCTTGGCTTGCTCTTCTTCATCATTGGGGGTCGATGATTTCGATGCCAAGTCCTGCAACAATTCGCGGGCTTGACCAAACAAGGTGGCCGCTTCCCAGTGGTGTCCCGAAGACTCCTCGCTCTTGCCCTTTTCAATGGCCGAAAATGCCTTTTCTAGATCGCTGCTCATGATCTTTTATTACCTCCTGCAATGGCGTCGCTTGATCAGTTACCTTATTATGGGTAGCTCCTGACCTTTGCTATCGTTTGGTTGCTTGTTTTGTGTCAGCCGAGCCCATATCTATGCTGCACTGCTGCACCATGAGACACTACCTGTGACGCCGCGAAACGCAAAGAAATCTATTCGATTCGACTCACCTCCATCTAAATCGAATCGAATCGAATTTCCGATTGGGAGGTGGTTTTGGTTGGGCCTCGTCTTGACCATAGTTGGGCTCTCCTGTACCACTCTTTCGTTCGAGTCGATACGGCGACAGCAGACCTACGTGGGCTAGCTAGCTACTGTAGATCGATAGAGATCGAATAGGCTATCATAGAAGGGTGCACCTCGTGCGCAAGGTAGAAGCAAAGGACGGCCGTCTTTCCGGCCACTGGACATGCCCCCCCCCTTCAAAACTGTATCACCACATCTGATGAATCGATTCATGTGGAAGCTGGCTGGCCTTGCAGATACGTTCGCCGTTGCCAGGTCGTGGTGGCAGGTTGAGGTACCGTAGCAGCATCGCAAAAGTTAGGAGGAATCCACAAGCTGTGCTACCTTTGAAACGTGCTCCAGGAAGCCTCACAAGGAATTGATGCTTTTCGTATGGTACTGTAGCAGTTGCTAGCAAGCGACCGGTGAACCTTTGGAAGCTATCTCACAGTAGCTACGGTACCCTTGGAACAGGCACAAAACAAGACACGAAAAGTGCGAAGAACGTAATGTGAAGTTAGATTTGGGAGGAGGAGGAGGAAATAAAAGCCCTTCGTACTGTGCTAAAGGTGGACGCGACCGCAAATCCAAACTAGGTTTATCGGGACTCGCCGTCGGATTCTCCCCTGACATCGTAGCGGCATGACTCATCAACCATGAAGCTACGAGATTGCATATCAGCGTCCCCGAACAGAGACGTTTCAGCGGAGGATACTGTGGTTGCTGTTCTTCCAGCAATGGCAGCAAAGTACGTTTGCAACTCTCCCTTGCCTTTTTCGTAGGATGGACTCGTGTGAGAGACGTCATGGCATAAGCGCTTGCTGTGTCTAGTAGTCCCAACAAACAACATACCTTTGGCAACAACCTTATCTTCCCTTGGAGTCAACCAGTTACCCTTGCCTTGAGACACAAGCAAATCTGCAGTGGCTTGAGAAACATGAATGCGTTCAGGAACACCATTGCTTTCCATCCGACTACAGGCAATTGCATAGAAGAACAGCAAGCAGCAATACGTTAGATTCAAGTAAAAAATGCCCTCCAAAACCTCCCCAAGCCAGCTCCATGTTTGCTCACCTTGCAGTATTCATACTATCTCCAAAGAGCTGGAATCGGCTCTTGCAGCCACGGAGCACGCCACCTGTCACTGGCGGTTGGAAAGGGAGGAGGCAAGGTTAGAATAGCCCAAGCAACCTAGCTCTCACTACCAGACTCATCAGACTCACCAGGACCAGAGTGCATGCCAACTCGCATCAGTAATGTAGCCTGATTTTCATAAACCAATGAAAGACATAGACACCAGGTGAGCAAATCTGCAACCTCTACAGGGCAGCAAAGATGACCACATGGTTCACTTACTGTGTCTGGGCCCAATGATTCGGACAGCTCAGCCGTCAAAATCTTCATTTGAGTCATGCAGTCAGTGGCAAATCGCACCATGATACTGGCATGATGGGCTTGTGGATCTGGGATTCCAGTGGCAGCCACATCTATGGAAAAGACAGACGCAAGCAAACAAATTCAAGATAAAGATCAGCTTTGAGCACAGAGATCATGCTTCCCAACTGGGTCAAGTCAAGCAAGCCAAGACTTACAGCAATCTCCAATCTGAACACAAAGAACAAGCAACAAGCAGCTGAGTGAACCAGATCTACAGGCAAGATCAACACAAGGCTAGACCAAACCAAGCACATACAGTTTCAACCTTGAACACATTTCTCCTTTGAGCCACCGTATCGAAGGCCTTGTATAATGTTTCTAGAAGCTCAAAGACCTCTGCGGGGGTTCTACCCGAAGACCATTTTGTGAAGCCTACAAGCATAACAGACAACTTTTAGAGCCCCAAGCCATGAAACCAAACAAGCAATGACATGGAGCAATCCTGCCATTAAACATACCAACAAGGTCAGCAAAAAGGATGGTTGTTTCAGGGTATACCTGTGCCAACATGTTGTGAGCAACACCATGGTCTGCTTGTTCCTTCTTTGGATTGGAGAAGGATCGGTCTGTGTCATCATGCTGCTCCAGAACTTTGGACTTGATATCACCAGGGAAAAGAGAGGAGACCAATCTGTCTGAACGAGCCGCTGTTTTGGACAATTCTTTGTTCCTTCTCTTGACAAACCAATCATAGATAATGAAGACCAAAGCAACTGTAATAAAGGATGCAAGAACCACAACTGCAAAGGTAATGGGCATTGCGGTGGTGTAGTCACCTTCAAATGTCTCTGTTGGGTACACATGCTGGAAACAACAAAAGGTGAAACAGGCAGAGCGTGAGCAAACCATCAGCTTATGCAATGCTCCCTTGATTCAAAACAACCTGATACATACCATTGAGTACTGACAATGACCTGGGGTGGTGGTGAAATTGGGATGGGTGTGCATGGATAGATCCACCATGACTTCAAGGTGATCATACTTGGGGTTGTGCATGTCACCACTGCCCAGATAAATGGCATCCTTGCCATTGATCTCATATGTGAAAACCTGGTCGCAGGTGTTTTCCACAACACAGAGAATACCTCTCACATTACTTGGCAACAGATTTCGCATGGAGGCATCCCATGCCACGGATGCTGTCACTGTAGCAACAACCCCACTACCAGGCTCCCTTACTCTTTTGTAGACTGGATGGTACATGAAACTGTGAGGATTGTCAGCCTTGGAGTCTGTGTGGAAGTTCTGATGCTCTTCTGGTGGTAATGCTTGGAAGGGTTTGAGGGCGGTGACAAGAGTTTCATATTTGAGCTTGATGACTCCATCTATGACTTGGTCATTCGTTCCAATGCTGGCAATGTTGAGGTTCATCAATGGACCATAGCCCCTCATAGGAGGAGACTGAATGGTACGAGCTGAATAGTATTCTCGAACATCATCAGGGACTTCGCCTTCGGCCGACTTCTTGCTAATGAACTGGTTGTACCTTGTGGGATCTGTGTCCAGCAAGTCAGTGTTGCCATATCGAATGATGTGTGATTGTTCAATCCAGTCCTTGTAGTGTGCAGTAGTCCAGTTGATATAGGCTTCTGACTCATTGTGTTTCACCAAATTGTTGACCCCAACATATTCACCAGCACAATGTTTGAAATAGTTCAAGGCATATGACTCAAAGAGAGGAAGGATCACATAGGGCCAAGTGAGGTTGTTTGCCTGGGCATGACCAGTGATTTCATTAGACAGAGTTGCCATGGAATCCCTCAAGCTCTGTTGCTGTTCCAAGGCAGCATCAACAAGCGTCCTGGCAAATTGTGTGTACTAAAAGTAAAGTAAAACAAAGCAAAGCCAAAGAAGACAGGCAGTGTGAGGAAGGCATCATTTCCCATGATTCCACAGAGCTCCATCATGCTCATAGATGCCTTACTGCTGTCTCAAAGTTCCTGTTCTCCTCCCGATCTAAGAAGTAGTAGGCAGTGGCAGTCACAACAGTGGTCATGAGCAACATGCCCACCACAAAGAAGCGGAACATTCGGATCCTAGAATCTTCTTTTGCTGAGGTTTCGAACACACTCGTTGCCCGTTGGGTTTTTTCACCGTGGTCCGCGGGTGCTTCTTCGTCCCCTGCCAAGACAGAGTCATCATCATCATCATCCAGGTCAGCGACCATCATATCCTCGTGGGGTTTGACGTCCGATGGTTGCTCCTCAACTTTCATCATTGTACGATATTGTGGAGATGGTCTATTTTGGGGTTGTAATAAAGGACAAGCTTGTTTCTGCTGAAGTGGCCTTCTGTGAAAGTATGAGGTTGGAGCGGACGCGACGAGGTGAAAGCTCAAGCTTTGGGCTGTCAATGAAAAGGATCCCAGCAATCTGCAATCTGCTTCTTATCAATTCTGTGTTTCCGTGCAGTCTTCAAAAAGAGACACATATTGCCTCCAAGCAGTCAAGCAGTGAAGTGTTTCGAGTTTCGAGCTTTGAGAAAAAAGAAGCTTGCTAAATCTCAAGCGGAACATGGAAATAAAAGCTGAAAGCCTGAAGCAAGAAAGAGCTTTGGCCATTGACCACTGCGGGAGTTCGGAGTTAGATGGTTTGGATGGGATGTGCGTGTGCACTCGAGAAGCCTGATAACTGGATCCTGAGTCTTTAAATCTTTGACACGACATGGATTTTCTCTGATGTTCTCTTCTTTGTTGTAAGTCATCGAAGCCGTTAGACTTCCAATAAAATTACTATGGGACTTATACTCACCGGGCCTACGAACGCAAGACATTTCTGTCGGACACAGTGAACAGTAGTGAACCCAACACGAAGAGAGACCCTGAAACGCACGCAATGTTACACGTATAACTCGTATCACTCGTATAACTTGTATCACTCGTATAACAGGTGTAACACTCGTATAACGGGTGTAACACGTCTTACGTGTGGAATACGTATAACACGTATAACACGCGCGCCAGCCAGCCACCGTGACCGTGACCGTTCGAGTTTCGCAAAATGACTTGACTCCAACTTGACTTCAACACCAACTCCAATCTCCACCACAAAGAACCACCATGACAATAACCTCTCTTCTCTTGTTTGTTTGAAGGATACAAAGGTTTCTCTTGTTATTTGAAGATAGCACCATCATTGTGGGTAAGTAGGCAATGTGGTATGGCTTTGTTGAAGCTAAGAAGACTGTTCCTGTGGAAAGATAGAGTGATTTCTCTTCATTCAACTCATTCTCCATTTTTCTGCCTCCACTCTCTTCCTCAGGCCCTGTACAACCTTCAGGACCATTCTCTTTGCATTCATATACTTCTGAAGGCTCCCTGACAAAGCCTGTGGAAGACCTGGCCTTGAATTCTACCATTGTCAACCACTTTCTGTAGGGACCAGTACTGAACCCATGTAAGTACCTCAGCGCGCAACACGTGTTATGCGTGTTACGCATGTAACACGTCTTATGGTGTAACACATGTTATGCATGTAACGTGTATTATATGTATCACCCGTGATATACGTATCTAGCGTGTAACACGTAAGATTTCTGCCTATCTGCTGCTGTCGCCTCCTGATGTGATACTTGAGAGATGGTACCGTCTGGCTTCACCAAAGACAAGACCACTCCTTGATGCAGACTCTTCCTTAGAGATTCGATTTGTTTCGAAGTTAGAGATGAGCATGTCCGTTCATAAAGTAAAGTCTTAACAACACTTGGCGAGAGATGGTTCTTTAGGCATTGTTCCGCTAGTGTAACGGCTTCTGTGCCAAGATGAGTACTTAACACTTTCACTTGTGCCTCTTCCAGTTGTACATGGCCACGATGAAGCTTGTTGCCTGTCTGGAACTTGGGTAGATATCATCGTCTGTGTTCCTGGCTATATAGAACATTGAAAGAGAATGGACATTTGACACCCTCCCCCTCAACAGGAAGCTGAGTTTGTGTGGTTTTGTTGCTCTCCTTTTGGGACCTTTGTTTGTAAAAACGACTCCTTGGACAACATATGGTAATGTGATTCCGCCTCTTATCGAATCCCTTGTTTTTGATACGGAATCCAGCAGTCTTGCAAGAAAGTACAAAGTATGGCATCAAAACTTCTTTAATATGCGCCGAATCACAAGATTGATACATCGAAGGTAGCCAATACACCGTCGATTTCTCCATTCGATAATTATCGAACCCCAGAGTATCCATAATGTTTATCTCCTTTGGTGTATCATCAGTTAGTGAGGTTGCTACATTCGCAATGATTGAAGCAGGAGTCCATTCTTCGTCATTGATATTGTATCTAGCAACATGGGAGAGATCAGATAGGTAAGAGTCCATTTTACTTGTTAAGCTGTCAGGTATTATGGCCTGCAACAGTGCATCTTCCTCTCTGCCTCCCAAACACCTAGCAAAACACCTGGCAAAAAAACTTAGCAAAAATTCGTCACTATGTATTATACGTATAACACGTACAACACATAATACATGTAATACGTATAATATTTTTCCACTTGTGTTACTTGTGTTGTACGTATGACTTGTCTAATACATATTAAAAAGGTTATATGTGTAATTCGTATGATCTGTAGAATACATAGTGAAAATGTTATACGTATAATACAACCGCGTGCGTTTCAGGGGCTCTCACCACATTTAAACATGTCGGTACTGTTGAAAGCTATTAAAAATAGTACGTGTAGTACTAGCTAGTAAAGAGCTGGAGGGAATTAACAGTCAAGAATACTAGCTAGTACAGAGTACAGTACTTCAAATCTTTTGATAAGTTTAAAAGTACTTCTATTTACCAGACCCGTGCCATCGTTTTTAGGATTCGATTCGATCATTCGATCTGATCCACAATCCACAATCTTCGTCGCCGTCGCCGACGTTCACTAGCTGGTCAAGCCACGAAAGAGGAGGTAAGAGGAAGAGGTGATCACGTGACCAGCCTCCTATTCTACTCCATCTTTCTTCATCCTCCTATATCTACAGTATTGTCCGCTCGAACACTCGAGCGAACTGAAGCACAAAGACACATATCGTGGTGGATGAGGAGCTTTCATCGGCGGCACACTTGAAAATGAGCGAAAAAACAGAGGAGAATCGCAACGATGGGCCACCCGCTGACAGCATTGATGGTGCCACGGTGGGTGGGGATTCCCCCTCCATCAGTCCCAATAATGCGAGAGCTTCAGCGAGCACAATGCACAAGGATCCGCTCAATCTCGGCATCCCTCTACCGGTCTTGGTGATGTCCACTCCCATCAACGCCACAGCCGGGGACGATGATAACCGCAATGAAGGTAGTGCTGAAGCGGAAGATGTCGAGGACTGCGAGTCGAAAGAAGGTCATGTTGCTAGTCCCATTGCCAGTACCAAAGAAGCCAAAATGATGGGTGGACGTGTGAAAGAATTGAACAGTATAGCGGCTGAGGACGCGATGAAGTGCACCTCTGGTGATGCCGAGTTATTAGAGTGTAGTCTAAGGAGCAGATTTGCTCTTGACTCTGCCACTGATACAGCCGCACTTGATGAGATGGTGGCAAGTGCCACTGCTCTGTCGATGTCGGAACCGGGGGGATACGCGATCGGTGGACCTGGAGGTGCTTCTGGACACGCGGGGACTGATGACTCCAGCTATGATGGAACCGCAAGCCCAAGTGAAGATCTGGAAGACGGTATCTCAAGGCGGGCAAGTCCACGAGAAGCCTCATTCTGCCGAGACAGTAGTACACGTCCCACAAGCGTCTCCAATTTGGATTCATCAGACTACCTGGTGGAGGCAACACTTGTGACAGACCAGCAAGGGCAGCCTGTGGTCCAGGTGGATGCAGAACCTGTACGCAGATGTCCATTTTACGCCACTGCTGGATCGTTGGTTGCCCTCTTGGTTGCTGTAGTGGTACTATCGGTGGGACTGTCAAGTGCTTCCAACGACTCGTCAAAGTCTGATAATCCCATTCAAGCTACAAAAACGATGAGTCCAACTGAAGCTCCCTTGCCAACTCTTGAGCGTATTCAAAGGAATGGGTATGTCAGGTGCGGGAGTGGCATACAGTTTACTCAGCTTTTTGCTCATATTGACACCATCAGCACTAGCTTTCTGGGAAGCAATGCTACTTCAGCTGCAAGTGGTCGTGGCGCCATGGACAATGATTTTGCCACCAGCCTTGTAAGTGCCCGCTTCAATAAAGCTTTGTTGCTTGTAATTTCGTTTGGATGCACAGCATCTAATGATTGTTTGCGCGGCCACACCACCAGTGTGCTGCCGTCGCTGCAGCTGTGCTAGACGACCCGTCTGCTATTCAAATGGTGGTTCGGAATGAAACAGAACAGTTTGAAGCTCTTGACGGCGGTGAAATGGATTATCTGATTAGCAGGATAGGGGTTACGATGAAGCAAGACGTCTACGAGGTGTGCATAAGGGTGAACTTCGGTTCCTCCGCGAAAAGGTACGACTGTAGAGGGCCATCGGCGTCAAGAACTTACCGTTGCTGTGTTCCTTGTCGTTTCCAGGGAAGGTCGGGAAACGGGCTTGCCTACACCATGCCTTACCTATATTCAGGGGTTGGCTTCACAGGTATAGTTTTGTGATCATTTAGAGCTGCAGTGTCCAAATCGCACTAGTCTGACATCTGCTGTCCCCTCCTCAGGTCAACCCGAATATGTGGAGTGTGCTGATGACAATATCAAAACATTCCAGAATTGCAGTGATATGATCATTTGTATCCACGAAGATACTTTCTTTGCTCAGCAACTCTTGCTCCGAATCCCCCAGCGGCAAGTCATGATCCTCAATTCAACTCTAACACTCTTTACTAGCTTGCTCTTCGGCCGATGCCATGTCATGGCAACTGAAGCCCCCGAGTTTTCGTTGGCAATTCTGCGAGCTTTGGGGTATCCAGGAGATCTCACCGCAGGGAACCGAATATACACCACGGAGATGTTTGCCCTTGCGTCCAGGGATGGAGACCCAGAGTGGGCTGACTTCTTGAACGCTATCCTAATGGCTCTGCTGTACGCTGAAGAGGTGGGGATCACAAAAGACACCGCTGACCGATTTGGGCAAACACATTGGTTCGGTGCTGAGTACAAGAACATGTTCATAAATGCGATCAGGGCTGTCGGGAATTTCGGCGAGCTCTACACATTCCCAATGCCTCGAAACAACAGAAACTTGCCGAATGTTGCGACAGGGATCTTGGCGTCTCCGCCTCTTGGAGACATTGGGCTAGAGAGTGTTCACAAAAGCGAAGAGGGGCCCATAACTTATGGAACCCTCGCAAATGTGAGAGATCGTGGCGTACTTCACTGTGGCATCAGAGGAGGTCGTCCTGGCTTTGCCGACCACAATGCCAACAGCTCAACCTTTCAAGGGTTTGACGTCGACTACTGTGTTGCCCTGGCAGCTAGTCTTCTTGATGGGAAGTATCAGAATGTCAAGTTCTTCGACGTGAATGTACGAGATGAAACCAATGGGTTTGTGATGTTGCAGGAGGGGACAGTAGATGTGTTTGCTGGTGCCGAGTGGACCATTGACAATGACCTTCGAGAGAATGTCACAAACGCAGGTATGGGATGAGCATACGTATCTGACGCTGCGGGTCTACCGTGCGTACGGTATCCTCCCTCACGCTTCCATCCTTACAACTTCCAGGTTTTGCATTTTCCCAACCATACTTCTATAATCCAGTGAATGGCACAAGGTCAGCAGAGAGCGTTTGTATTGTGTGGTTGACGTTGCGAACATTGACGCGGCGCAGTCTCAACGATTTGGTTGATTCATACCGGTATGGCAGATTTGATGAGAACCTCTCTCTGGCCACTCGGCAAGATGACGCACAGTTTTCTTCCTTTGTCTATTGGGTTGCTCAGTCCATTGTGTATGCCGAAGAGCACGATATTGCCCAGAGGACTTCCAGCCAAATGCCGCTTGTGGAGGTATTCGGAAGTGGCTTGCGGCGCATGTTCCGTGATGCTGTCCATGCTGTTGGGAACCACGTGAGAGAAATCTTGCAAGTATCTTACCACGCGGAGGACGCAACACTTTGGCCTTAAAATCCATGGATGGCAAAGGTCCTCTTCGGTACATACCACCTGGATTCGACGTTCAAGTGGGGAGTCCTTCTCGCTGAGGCTGGGCTGAGCTGGAGGACAAAGAGTTCTTTGCAATTAGTAGGCTACTCGCGATATCGACGATAACCTTTCCTTGGACGTTTCTTCCGCCCCAGGCTTTGATTGGCCCCACTTTCCAACCCCAAGTTTGGTTCCAAAACTTGTACACCGCAATCGTCATGTTCGCAATTTTCATGCATGAACTTGCAGTGCAACCGGTATTGTGGGACTTCTTCCCGCTTCCGCTGTGGGACTTTTCCATGCTTCCATCTTCTTTGACACACCCTTCTTCAACTGGTTTCACCTGGCTTCAACTGCACAAAGGTATGGGCTGTAATCTAGCCAGCAAAAGGCCAAGCTTTCTTTCTGACATTCACCTTTCCGAATTGCCAGTTGTCAGAATCAAGGATAAGACCAGCTTCCAATTGTCTTCGGGCAGTCTTGGATGTATGAAGGTGGATACAGTGGACCAATAGGCCGTAACTGCAGTGTTGCATTATTTAGCTTCTTCTTGGCTAACTTGAACACGCATCTACCTGGTGGACTCCTGCAAAGAGAGTCGAGTGATCCGAGATAGCTTGCGCCTCCAACGTCAAGTAGGAGTCAACAGAGTTCTAACGCAGCTTGACAGAGCTTGCCGTAGCCCTCTACTCGAGACAAGTCGAGAGATTGTATTAGTGAGAAACTTATGACTTTCTGGAACGGGTTCCACTATTTGGCAGCAGTTCCCTTCTATACATATATAGTCTACAGGATTCGTGTCGCTCAATCTCTGTTGCAGGCGCCTCAAAATGATCCTTCTTCGAAGGCACTTGCATTCTCGTCTTTGCCCCTGCTGTAGCGACCCGCTGATCCACGCAGTATTCGGACTTCATTCATCCTTGCCCGTTCAGGGCGATACAATTTCTTCTTTCTTGGTCGTTTGGGACGACTTTGTGCGCTAGGGACTCTTCTGGTCCAGCTCCGAGGCAAACTGTAGATTCCAGTGTTGGGCTGCTCAATCCCCGTGTCAATCATCAGCTCCTCGTAGAGCTCTTTGGAAGCGGCACGCCTCAGTTTTTCAATCACAATGTCTCCTGCCTGGCCCGCTTCACAGCATTTCGTGAACGTCGTTCGGACAACTTCGTCACGCTTTCGTTGCTGCAATGTGGTTTCGCACACTTGCAAAAATGCAGCATAGGTAAGAAAATTAGGCCAGCCATAGCGTTGCTGATTGTCGCAGAGTTCCTGCATTGCCGTTTGCGCAATCTGATAGGATGGCTCTTTCTCATCCTCCAAAAAAGGGTTTGCGCAGGCGTTGATGACCGATGTATATACCACCACGCTTGGCTTGCAATGCTCTTTGCCCTGCTTCTCATAGAGATCCCTCATGTGTGACAAAATGTTGTATGCTCGGGTAGCCTTTTGTTCCTCTTGACTGTACGCCCAGGCATGAATAGCAGCCCCAAAACAATGTGCATTGGGTTCCAAGTCGGAGTAACCTGGTTCTTCTTGAGACTTTTTGTCCAAAAAGTGCAATACTTGTTCGGCCTTTTGGGCGGTACCTGACAGGTCGGTCCGAGACCATGCCGATATCAAGCTCTGGTATGTTCGGATAGAAGGACGGCACTCGCCGTGTCCGGCTTCGTACCGTTCTTCCATTCTTCGAACAATTTCTTCGGCTCGCATCGCCTTTCCAACGTCGGCAGGACTGTGAATCAATGACCGTAGAACTGTGTTGTAGGTGATTGTGGTGGGATTCATGCCTTGTTCTTCCATTCGATGGAGGATTTCTTCGGCCCGTGGGGCTGCTTGTGCATCTCGACTGTTGGCCCAAGCCGCTGCAACGGTTGACAAGGAAATAACATCGGGTTCAAGACCGGGTACTTTTCCCATATCGTTCAAGATGTTCTGTGCCCGGTGTGGCTCACCAACCTTGGCCCACGCATCACACGCACAGTTGAAGAACGAATTTGTGATATTGGCACGAGGATTACCCGCCTTTACTTCCTGGACCAATCGTTGTAACAGTTCGTCGGCCTGCTCTGCATCTTGCTTTGTTTTTCGCTTGGCATGCATGGACAATGCCGGCATGATGAGTTTGAGGATTGATTCGTTGGCTTCTCCGACCGGAGTAATCTTTAGTTGATACGACAACCAATGCAACCAATGCAACGATCGGTCATTTTGGACCAGTTGCATCAACTCTTTTCCTTCGGTTTGTTGCTCCATGGCTACGATTCGTTCCACGGCAGTGGTGCGATCCCGACGAGGCAACGTTTGTGGTTGTTGTGGTTGAGTGTTGTGGAGCCGTTCTTCCATTTGGTCCCAACATCGTTCGGCCCGTTCCTGTTCGTTGGCATGTACCAATGCTCGAATGACGGTGTGATGCAAAAACTCCCAAAAGGGCAATGCGACGGCAAGCCAAGAAGCACTCTGAAGCAGCCGTTCTTGTTCGGGCGTGGTAAAGACAAGTTCCCTTTCATAGGCATCAATCATCGATGATGTTGTGAGATCGTCTTGGCTGTTGTTGTTGTTGTTGTGATCACTAAAGGTTCGTTGCAAGGTGACAATCAATTGTTGCATTGCCACCAAGGAATCTTCCAACTGCCGAGTTGTTGTCGTTCCAGGTGGTCCTTGTGCAAAGGACATGGATTTGTGCAGCAGCTCTGTGATTTCTTGAATATTATTATTATTGTCCTGCAAGGAAGAGGTTGTTGTAGTGTTGTTGTTGGCACTCATCGTTTTGTCCAATATTTGTTCCTGTACCCAGATTCGATGATCGTGAATTTGCCGTTGCAAACTTTGGACTCGTGCCATGGTTTCTGTACTACCAGTAGTATCACTACCAGTGTTCATGGCGTTGTCGGCGAGGATTGTCAGCTTATCCAGCAGTTGGTGAGCCTTGTGAGTCGTTGTTGTTGTTGTCTGTTGCATGGATACCACCGATGCAATACTACCATCTCCTGAAAGCTGCTGCTGTTTCTCGAGTGGTATATGTATCCAGGCATCCAATGCCGCTCGAAGCAATCTGGCAAAATAGTAGTTACCACTACTACTAGCATCATGATGTAGCTGCGCGTGTGGATTTCCCGCCAAATACTCGCTGGCATATCGCTCTACCAACTGTGTGGCTCGTTGTGCTCCCACAATGGATCGTTTGTTTCTCCAGGATTGAGCGGCTGGCAGGAATTGTTGGAGAATGGATTTTTCCACCGTACCCACGGGACACCGATGCCATTGCTTGTAGAGCCAATAGAGCCAACGGAATTCCTTCTTTCCTCCGCCGTTCTTGTTGTTGGTGGTGTTCGTGGGAGTGCTCTTGTCATTCTTAATAGGCTTGGTGGATCTCGGCTTTGGATGATTCCTCCCTTGCTTTGCATTCTTGTTGCCTTTTTTGTTGTTGTTTTGAGCAGTTGCTGATGGAGTACTACTAGTACTACTAGTAGACTCCTTATCAAGAGCTGCAACGGCTAATCTGGATTGTCGATCCACTTTCGTTGGTTGGCGAGTTGTTAGGGGCTGGAAAGCCTGAACAATACTACTAGCACTCTTGGGATGCCTTGCCGTCAAGCCCAGAATGGCAACGCCCAACATCAACTTTCTCATCTTTCTCCTCACTTTCTTTAGCTAGTCTAGAGGAAACGGTTTCTCAAAGAACCAAAAGAGTGAAACTAACTGTGTGAGCTACTACCGGTATGGGCAAAGTCCTAAACCAAAAGATATTGGACAACGTACTCGAGTGGCTCAGCTCAAGAAGGGAAATTGGAGCAGAACGTGCAGATTCATTTACATTACGACTGTACCCCAAGCAACCGACAACCGACGATCTGTTCAAACTCACGTTTGTTCGAAGCTCTGCTATGAAGCTCTTTGTGATGTCATTGTTCAAAAAGGATCCAAGCCAGATTGAGAAAAGGTGGCCTTGGCAGCTGCTGCCAATGGCCGAACTCTGCTCTTATCTCTGTTACCTGTACCGGTACCGTACGTTTTTGAGCAAACTGACGTCAGTATATTGTGAGCCAGTGTGCGAACGCAAAGATAACTCACCATTAGGGTTATTGGTGACGTCAGTCCTATAAGCAGGTCGTGATTGAAACCCAAGATCTTTTGCTTTCTTCCTTTGCCTCCAAGCGTTGTTTGTTCCACCATGCATGACACCGAGGTAGTCTCCATCAGCCCCAACAACAAACAGAAACAAAACCCCACACGGATCCTTTTGTCTTACCATCCACCTTTTTGCCATGAAGTCTGTCCTGACATTCCTCGTTACTTTTCTAGCTCTGACTGTCAGCAGCTATGGGTTTCAGTTTCTGGCTCCGAGACCACCGGCGTCCTACAGAGTTAGCAGTGGAAGAACGTTTCTTCTTCAAATGGGGCTCTTCGATGGCATCGCCAAGGCATTTCAGAACGAGGAGGTGAGTCATGTCCAACCAATACATGTAGTGTCTGTACTCTCATTTATTCAGTTATTGTTGGCGATAGATGGATGTGTCTCTGCGTGAACAGGTTGTTGAAATGAAGGTACTCATCCACGTTTTGTTTCTTGTTGGGCCTTTTTTCTTTTTCTTTCCCCCCTTCATGATAAAAAGTTCGCAGCTCCACCGGAAGGTATCAAGGCAACCGCACGGCACATTTTGTGCAAATCCAAAGATGACGCCGACATGGTCCTGGACAAGATCAACCAAGGTGGTTCCTTTGCGAGTCTGGCCAGCGAATACTCTTCCTGTCCCTCCAAGAGTCAAGGCGGGTCCTTGGGAAGTTTTAGACCAGGAGTTATGGTACCAGAGTTTGATAAAGTGATTTTCGATCCAGAAACGGAACTGAATCAAGTAGTGGGACCCGTCGCGACACCGGTGAGTACAGTACATGCATTACAACAACAGGATACTGCATCTGACAACATTCCTTACTTGCTTGTTTGTCGTTCGAATCAGTTTGGATACCACCTGATCCTTGTGGAAAAACGAACAGGCGTTTAGCAACCATGCAATATAAAGGCTTGGTGCAACCAGAACAATTCATTCCCAGATAATGCTGTCTGGACTACTAGCTAGCTAGATTGTGGGTTCTTCAGCTTTTATAAATCCACAGAATAGACGAGTGAGCTTGCGAACAATCTACGTATTGCTGCTGCTGATGTCACAATCTGCTACCATATGCATAGAATCGAATCTTATTTTTGTAGCTTGCGGAATATCATTGGTAGCAGTTGGTATGGTGTTTAGCGTCTACACTGGCAGGGATTGTTTCAAAAAGAGGGTAGAGGAGCCTCAAGACAGAGCAATCAGAGCTCCCAACAAAACGACCAATCCAACCGCTACACCAGCAAAAAGACCCAACTGTTCAAACCCAGGAGTCAACAAAATCATTTCTGGCGAAGTTACTTGCCAACGTAGATTGGCTGGACCCGTCACTTCCAACAGTGACCCTGGTGACAGCGAAAATTGTTCCTTGTCGTCGTCGTCTTCTTCACTCGTTACTTCCACACTGCACGTGCCATCCAGCACATAACGGGTCAGTGAATTTCCTTCGGTGCAGGATTCTTCAAAGGTTCCTTTCGATTTGGCTTGCTGAGGCCACTCTCGAATTCCCATCTGTTCGGCATCTTCTTGGGAGGGTGTTCGAACACTGACCGTGGCCATTCGAAGCCTTGTCGTCGAAAGGCTGGCATGGTGGACGGTTGAAACAGGCAGGGTGAATCCAAAGGACTTTGGACACACAAGTAGTAGCAGTGCCAATAAGATGGCAAGTTGAGTGTTGCGTATCATGGTGCTCTTGTGCTGAGATTGCTCGAGTTTGTGGCATTTCTTGGTTTGCTTGAAGGGAAGTCGTCGATGACGTCATCCTCATCCTTTTCAGATTTTTGAAATTGCTGGTGTCAAAGCAACCAGCCTTCCGTCAAACAAGAGGACAAGAACATCCACCACATCTATTGTAACACAGCGCCGCATTCTAGCTGCCATGAGGAACCATAACAGGGGGCTATTTGTACATGTATTGATTGCCTTTATCTTGAAGATAACAGCAAGAGATAGTGGAGTGGTTTTCGCGTTTGTGCGCTCTCCATCACATTATCGGTACAAGTTCAGAATACCTTTAAGACATGACGTTGGGACAAACAAGATTGCACCGGTTGCACTCAAGGCAGACCAAGACCACAGCGAGCCTGAGGAAGTCAACAATAAAATCACAGGCCAAGCGGCAAAGGAAGAAGAATTGGGTTTGCAGACAAGCAACCCCGAGATTATGAAAGTTATTTCAACTCCCACTTCTTCCAGCGCCACCAGTACAGAGAATTCCAACAGCATAAAAAGCAGAGATTGGCGCGACAAAGACCACGCTTCCAACATGCACGTTGCAGCGCTTTCACCGGCAGGTCCCTTGTGGAAGGAAGATGGTGAAGGCGATCAAGATCTTTCGCCAAAGTTGAACAATAAGAGAAAGAAAAGTGTCTTGATTCTCTGCACCGGTGGCACTCTCACCATGGCCAACGATCCCCAGCAGGACGACTCATTGGCACCGGTGCAAGGAGCCCTGACAGAGTATCTGGAAACCATGACGGAGCTACGCGATGATCCCGACATGCCCGAAGTCACGGCGCATGAATACAATCCCTTGATTGATTCCTCGGATATGGGGCCTGGAGACTGGGCAGTACTGGCCAGTGATATTGGCGATAATTACTATCACTTTGATGGATTTGTCATTCTCACGGGGACAGATACCATGGCATATGCAGCCTCGGCGCTGAGTTTCATGCTGGAGAATCTGGGAAAACCAGTCGTATTCACAGGCAGTCAAATACCTCTCGTAGAGCCGTACAACGATGCTCGCAAAAATCTCATCATGGCCATCATCTTTGCTTGCCGAGATAATGTCCACGAGGTGACTATTTTCTTCCACGACAGGCTACTCCGGGGTTGTCGAGCCACCAAAGTGAATACTTCCCGCCTACTGGCCTTTGATTCACCCAATATAGACGCATTGGCGCATATTGGCATTACCATTGACGAACATGACAATCTACTGCGACCTCCACCCAAGTGGCGCTTTCGGGTCCATACTCGCATGGAAACGCGCCTCATCACCTTGCGCCTCATTCCAGGCTTTGACGACGCCATGATGGGACACATGATCCATGCCGCTCGGGAAACCAATCTCAAGGGTCTCGTATTGCAACTGTACGGAACCGGCAATCTGCCTAGCCTAAAGGAAGACTTTGTCCAAGTCTTGGCCGATGCCGTCCAAGCCGGTGTATGCGTCGTGGCATGTACCCAATGCTTTACAGGTTCCGTACGGATGGGACACTATGCGACTGGACGTGCTTTGAACAAGGCAGGCGTCGTGTCGGCCAATGACATGACGGTGGAAGCGGCCAACTGTAAACTTGCCTACTTGTTGGGACGAGGAGACTTGTCATTTGACGAAGTTCGAGACTTGATGGGCGTTGACCTGCGAGGAGAACTCACACCGGCCAGTCGGTTGCCTCTTCCACCCTTGTCCAGTGTTTACCAAGAAGCCATTCACAAACAGCAGATGGCTCAGAAACAACAACGGAGAGGAGCGGCTCCATACTAGCAGTTTGAAGCATGCCACCAGTAGAGCTATTGCGACACTCCCACGGACGTTCCACCAACTTGTGTCGATGGGAGCAAATATTTGCCTCCAATAAGCTATCTGTGACATTTTCACTAGCAGAAATAGCGGTATGAAGGATGAGCTAGCTAGCTAAGAAGAAGAGCGCAGGATACATGGTTCTTCGACTCTTTATACAATTATAGTTTCCAGGGGCGTGAATTCTAAGTTTGTACAGTCCTTTCATCTTTGTCCATTCGCCCCTGTTTGCCTAGCCAAATGTTCAATCATTGTACATGTTCGGGTATCATCCATGGTGTTTGGTGTCCATCATCTCCTGCCAAACGTTCGCTGCAGTCACTCTCGTTTGTACACGTTCGTCTCTTTATTGTCATTGCGGGATCCTCAATCTTTTCCCATTCCATTTATTTGTACAGATCCATCATCTGTTTTCGAGTTTGTACATGACCACCTATCGCTCTGTACAGCTCGTCAGGCTGCCCATTTATTTGGTTGCTGCCCACACAAGGAAAGCCACGGGGAGAAGGACTGCAATCGCAATCGATCCTCCGTAAGCGGCACCCTTCATAGCAGCAGGGTTCGATCGGTTCTTGCTCTGTTCAGGGTCCACCTTGACCTTCAAGTTGAGAGAGGTAGAAGTCTCAGCAACAAAAGGACTGAAGGAAGAAACGGGTGCGGAGGTGATAGACACTGGTGCCTTGACACTGGTGAAAGCAGTGACACCGTTGACCACGAAAAGGGCGGCAATAACGAGGGCGAAGAATTTGTTCATGGTGGATGGATGATGGATGTTTTGAAGAAGTATGTGTGTTGATCTTTGTTTTATGACATCATATTGGGCTCAGGTTGAGTTGTTTGATGGTGTTTGCGATGCAACCGTGGTCCGGTGATGACGGCTATGTGCGGAAGTCGCAGTGACCTACTAGTGGCAATTCTGTGTTGGCCACCATTCTGTGATGATGATGTTTCGCCAATGCTACTGGTATTCGTTCACTGCTTCCGTATTTCTGCACTTCACTCACCACTCATCTTCTCCTCCATCATCATTTTTTGGAAACAGCAAAGTCAAAGAAGCTGTCAGAGACCAAAACTCGCGCGTCAGTTTTCTTCATGCCACGTACCATTGAATTTAGCCCTAGCTCTAACAAAGCTGCCAAAACCATCTTGAAAGCCGGGGAAGCTGTGTGCTGTACAAGAAGGGGCTCTGAACTTGAAAGGTGGAGGGTGTCGGGAGCATACTGCACTGGTACCGGTATGTTACGAGCCAAGCGCAGATGCAACGTAGCATTCTGAGTTATCTCCAGGTGGACGGAATGATGGGCCCAAGTAATCCTGTCAAAATATGTTGCCGTCGTCCGTTTTCCTCCCGCTAACTTGACTTTTGTTTTCTAGCGAGAAAAAATCCAGATGTTAATCTAGTCAGCTAGCTCGCCCACTATTGGTAACAGCTACTAGTATGCGAATATCCCACCAACTAGTTTTCTAGTGTGGTACAGTCGTAGTTGTGGTAGCTGGACACGTACCCGCTGAGTGAAGTAAAAGCAAGCCCTCGGCGCAGTAGACAAAAATAACAACTACTACTAATCTTTGTGACAAACCCAAACGTACCCGTAGAATAGGAGCCTCCTCTGAGATGGCGGAGATCCAAAGTTGTTGGATTCCTTCACAGCTCTGCTGTTTGTACGACCACGGCGACGCTGACGTCGCGCGCGCGACTGCAACTGCAACAGCAAACACCTCCACTATCAAATTTTACCACTGCCACTCTGCAAGTATCCGGGAAAGACCATCGTGGCGCTCTTGATGTCTTCCGCGCTACTTTGCTAGCTAGTGTTCGCCCTTTGATCCTGTTATCCTGTTCCTCCCCTTCTTCCTTGCTTCCTTTCATTCTTTGTGGTGCCGGTCTGCTGGCTCAATTGGCTCTCTGGCTTGCATCCTTGCCCCTTGCACTCATCGTCTCTCTGAAACCCCATAGAGGGGTAGTTTACTGAAGCCGAAGATAAAGAAGAAGACTAGGCAATTGTCACATCACTCAACAAAAGGAGAAGTCGAGTAGCTCGCACATCTATTATAATTGGATTCTTCTTCATGGAACGACACAACCTTGTTGCTGCTGCTGTTGATCAACCGGAAGCAGTGGCTCCTCCCGAGCCAGGGGTAATTGCTGGACCGGACAACGCAGGAGGTGATGATGCTGATATTCCAGTTGATAACCAGGATATCGACAATCGTGCCAATGTCCTGAATCAACCTCGGAACAAACCATTGGGTCCATCAGATGCCGGCCGCATGGAGCTGTCAAAGCAGGAACGACAATGGGCTCGAGCAGTCAAAGAGGCTATTGTACAAGACCCTGAGATCTCCAATCTCTCTGACTTTTGGTATGTCCAGTTGGCCCTCATTGAAAAAGGTCAGGACATTGACAACGTTCTGGATAGGGCACGTCATCTGCAGGCATTCCGGCAGGAATATGGAATTACTGAGACTGTCGCCAGTGGACGTTTTATCGATCAAGAATTCATAAAGCTCCTCCCTGGCTATTCTTTGTCCTTTACATTCAACCATGACACTGGGCATTATGTGCAAGTTATCGATTTGGCAAAATTCTATCAAGCCAAAGTGTTGTCTACACCTGGCGCTGTGGAAACGTGGTTAGCTGCAGTTTACCATTTACAAAATGCACTTAACCCAGACTTTCACGCCATCCGAAAAGGTGCATTTCTGATTATGGAATGTGATGGCTTTGACTGGAAGACCAATGTGAACCTACGAATCTTCACAAAGATGTTCCAGGAGATGGCATCTTCCTATCCCAATCTCTGGCACAGTGTCAGTTTCTTTAACAGTGGTGTATGCCTCAATGTGCTCATGTCCATGGTCAAGAGGGTATCTCCACCAGAGTTTCACAGAAACTATGAGTTTGGTTGTGTCACAGATATGGGGCGCTTGGACACTCTATACCTCACTCCCAACATGGAAGTGGCCAACAGAAGAATCTTGGATAGGTTCACAGAAGCTCTGGAGCTAAGATATGCCAATGAAGCCGCATTCTCCTTGTAGATTGAGACACCACTGATAGATCGACAGCAAAAACAATCAAGCCAGGACCTATGTACGATATCAACGCGACTACACCACACGATGGTGGTTCAAATCTATTGGGGTCTTCTTGCATCTTGCTCTGAAATTCGGCGGGAATTTTAATTGGAAGCAAAATGGCAAGTTGATTCGATTCTGTGCTCGGACTCACCACAAATCTTGCAACTCTCGGCCACTAATTTTAGGGTCGGATTTTGATTTTGCATTGGTTTTCAAGAATGTCCCTCAATCTGAGGTCGGACCCCCCCCCCCAAACACCCATGTTGGGTGTGGCAATTTCTACATCAATCTACATACATTATTAGGATTAGGAACAACAACAGGGATTTGAATCCCATCCCAGATGGATCAATCCCACTATATATCCCACAATCGAGACACATCTAGAAGAAGAAACAAATGGAAGTATTAGCTTAGTAGGAAGCTCATTCCTGAGCTCATAGTCTCAATAAAACTGCCTTAGTGAACAGAATTCTGATCTAGCTATTCCAATAGGAGTTTGCGTTGATTCAACCTTGAGTGCCTTGGCACGAGGGGGGTACTTGTGAGCTCCAGTGGTCTTTCCGTTGATCCTTTCGAGCTGCATTGAGGGGGGACTCGACTCGACTCGGGTCCATTCCCCCACCCATCACCACGGATCTACCAACCAAAATTATGCAGAATTCATTTTTCCGCTGATTTTTCTGCTGATTCTGCAGAACCCGGGATTCGATTCGATTCGATTCTGCCTAAAGATCCGTCATCGGGAGTTTGCTTGGCTTCAGTTCACGTGTCCCCTGCCTTGAGGCGCGTTCCTGGTACTGGTACTATTGTTTGTAGCCACTGCAGCGGACGACCAAGGTCAGGCCAGTTCCACGGCCGTCAGTTGCCTCGTACCAGCAGACTCGGATCAATTGACGCAAACGCAAGCCCGCTCCCGGTACGACATTCGAATGCGATCCGGAACGTTCCATGAAAAGACTTAAGGGACATATAGCCTTAACCTTAAACTCAACTGACATCACTCGGATCGTTCGATCGATCCAAGCCACTCGTATGTTCATTATTTCGATACCTCTATCTTTACTCTCTATTGACTCTATCAAGATGATGCTACTCCTCTATAGCGAATACTCCTCTTAACAAAGGCTACTACTCACCACCATGACAGGCTCCTCTTGTTTGGCTAGTGGCAGTGGCAGCGGCGTTCGACGATTGGTCGTTTGATCGCTTCCATTCGTCGATTTGATTCGGTGGATGACTTCTTTCTTCCACGGAGCGACCATGACGCGAACTGAGCACTACTACGCCTCGACAATGGTGCTACTACTACTGCAACAAAGACGCCTCGTCAATGGCACTCGAAGCTTCCGTTTGAAGGATCGGCCGATGACTTCGACTGAGCTTTCGTTCGACGGATCGATGACTGATGACTGGCTCTTCCACTGGCTCTTCCACGGAGCGACCGAACGAACGGCGCTACTACTATGTATTATCTATTCTTCTCCCTCTCCTCATTCTTCATCCCAACCAAGGAAAGGAGTGTTATCTTCAGTGTCAGCAGTCTCCACATCCACAACTTCCCCATCTTCCACAACAAACCTTTTGGCCAGACAGATCTCCAACTCATTTTCAATGGAGCCCAAGCCGGTGTCCAAGTTGGATCTGTGGGCAGCCTTACTCTTGAGAATGGAAGACATGTCTACTACATCCTTTCTAGATATCTCCAAGCGCTCCTCAACTGTCAGTTGTTGCTTCTGCAACTCTGATTTCCTGATCCGATCAAAGCCAAAGATATAGGCTTCCTTGATGTCCATTTCTGCTGTTGTCTTGAAGTTGCGGCGAGTGACACTGGGACCATCTGTTTTCTTTCGACGCTTGCGCTTGGTAATCTTCAAGCTGTGTTCTTCGATCTGCGCTGCGGTGGGCTTGTAATACTCCTTGGCGAATTTGTCAAGCTGATCCTTGAAGGACATTGTGCTTCCTTCTTCCGGCACATGCATGACCTCGTTGTTGATTGACTGGTATCCAAGCATGTACTTCCTGCACTTGCGGCGGAAGCGCATGGTTCTTGCTGAAGCCCTCGTAACGCATGAAGATCCGTTGCGCGTCGTACACCACTCTAAAATGATTGTATGCACGATTTCCACCAGTTCGGCAATCTGCGACAGCTTGTTCAACGCATCTTTCCCAAGACCACCAGTACCGGGGAATTCTGTCGAGAGCCACTTCGTATGCTCGACAGACGAAGATTGCCTTGTTCGTGATGGATTGTCTTGCGCTGACGGAGAGTTCTTCGAATTCCTGGTCCGTACCTACGAGGATTGACGGCATCTCTCTCCAGTCGTCGAGGGCAGCTCGAAGCTTCGTGACGCGCTCTTCCAAGCAATCTTTGACAGTTTGTTTCGGTGAAGGTTTGAAGACAAGACGAAACCTTTCGTACTCGAGCCTCTTCGGATCAAACTTTGGTTCTTCCGGCTGCGGCTTCCGCGAGGCAAAGGAGGCGATGGAAGGAACCTCACTGCGACAGAGCGAAGCATCCTCAAGAAACGAGTCGTCATCTTTGGCTGCTGACGGACCAGAAATTGTTTTGGGTACGGAGTCGTCATCTGTGGCTATGGATTCGTCTTGGGCTGCTGGTTCGTCATCGTCGAGCTGGGAGACGGCATCTTCAAGCTGCGAGACGGTATCTTCAAGCTGCGAGACGTTCTCTTTGGTAGGAGAGTCGTCAGCGCCGAGCTCGTCCTTTTCTAAATCAACGTGTCCAACCAACGCTTGTAGATACTCCCGCGATGAACGGCGACGGCGAACTGCAGCACGGAGACTACGGCGAACCGCAGTACCACCGTTGACGGATGTGGGCTCAAATGGTACGGGAAGATGGCTGTCGGTGCGAGTACGAGGACGGTGCGCTATCGGTGTCTTTTTCTGGTTTTGCTTTTTCGAACGTGGCGGAGTTTGTGCCGTCTCTGATGACTGCCTCTTGCGCTCATCGTCGTTTTGTTGCGGTAAGTTTTTGTTCGACTCATCTACAACGGTTGTTCCCCCTAAATTCCCGGTGCTAACAGTTGTGGAGTTATTGCTTGCTTTTTGGCTATTTAGAGTTCCTCTTGGCTGTCGCCTCATAGCCTCCTCCAGTTTGCCATCCATCTCTCCAAGGCTAGGAGATCTCTGCCTTGTTGATCTAGATCTCTCTCCATAAGATTTCACGGCAAGAATGTCAGGATGAGAGCCAGCCTCAATTTGATGAGATTTGAAGAGTAAGTCTTGCCATAACTCTTCCTCTTTGTTGAGTGGAAGAGATGGTGCTTCCTTAGATCTAGAGAGGAATATTAACCTTCTCCTCTTTTTCTTTGCTTTGGTGCCATCAATAAGGAATCCTTTGAATGTGACAGCCTGTGCCAAGTGAAGAGGCGTGCTGTTGCCATTGTTGTCGCTGTTGCTGATTTGGATCCCATCCATTGCCTTTGACAATTCCCCTGTGGCCACATCCTTTGTCTCCACATTGTATCTCTTGCAGATGACTGCTTTGATGGCATCAAGGGTCAACCAACAGTCCTTGAAGGGAGAGACATTGTCTGTCTTGTCGGCATCAAGGAGATCAACCACTAATCCAGCCAGGAATTCTCTGCTGAGCTCCATGACACACCTTGGAGATAGCTGAGTCCCTTCAAGGGGTGGCTCTGTGAGTGTGTTGGGGAGCTAGTCCTCTGACAGACTCAGCTAGAACAATGTAATGGTAGAGCTAGAGACCATTTGGCCAACACTGTTGCCATGGTGGTAAAATTGATCTTTTCTTTGTTCTTTGTTATTCTTTGGTGCTCTGCTGTTTGGCAGCGCAAATCAAGCACGATTCGCGAAATGACCACTTCCGGGTTCCCATTTCCGAAAACCGAAAAATAACCGTCAAAAACGCTCACATTTTGACGTCTGCGTGGCGCCCCTGCTGCCTGCTGGTACCCTGCTTCGAGCTTCGGTCTCCTTATAGGGTTTGGTCCGTCCAGTCCTTTAACATCTGTGCTGGCTTACTAGTGTCCAAACCGACGAATGACAAACATCGGCGTTCTCCCCCGGGCCTGGGCCCGGGCCCGGCCCCTCTTTCGGGTTGACCCTTTCGAGCCCTCATGAGAGGGGGGTAGGGTCCGTTCCCCCACAACATCGGGAGGATTCGATTCATCAGTCCAAAAGATCCATCATCGGCATCTGCTTGGCTTCAGGTTCACACGTTGACCCTTCCTCTGAAGTTGATGTAATAGTTGCATGCCATACGGGTAGAAACGTCATACAACCAAAGGCAAAGCAATCAACGGCGCTTTTGACATCGTAAGCGAAGGATGCTCTGTGTGCTCCGCTTGGTTTTGTTCTTAGAGCTGCTGCCCCTGAGCAAATCTTTCATGGTCATGGCAACTTCCCCATCCACCACTACTACCGCTCCAGCGCTGCCAGCGACGACACCTTCCAGGTGGCAAATCCCCAAGGACGAAACTGGCGTCATTGCACTGCGAGAGAACATGAGCACGGCCGATGGTCGTGGCATTCGAATTGCCGTTCTCGATACTGGCTGTGATCTTGCAGCCAGAGGAATGCAAAAGACTTCGACTGGCCAACCCAAGTATCTGGATTTTCTAGACTGTACCGGTGATGGCGATATCGATACACGCACCAAAAAGACTGTTGATGTCAAAGAGGAGGACGATGGCACCGTGAAGGTCACTGTGGCGGGTGCCTCGGGCAAGAAACTCACATTGCCACGGATCGTCTTGGGCGAAGACAAGACACCCGTAGAAGTCCGCGTGGGAGCTATCCCCTTGTACCAAATTTTACCCAAAACGGCATTAAACCGAGTGCGAGCAGAGAGAAAGATCAAGTTTATGGAGATTCACAACACCCGAGTTGCCAAAGCACAGAAAGACCTGGACCAATTGAGGCTACAGCTGCAGCAGCAAAAGGGTGCAGCCAACAAAGATGCTTCGGACAAAGACAAGGACGAAGGAAAGGATCAGGATACTCCTGACAAAGAGGAGGAAACAGCTCCAGAGAAAGAAGATTCTGACAATGTCACTGCAACCAGCTCAGCTTCTAACTTGAAGAAAGAAATCAAGGAGGCCGAAACGTTGATGGACGAACTGCAAGACATGGCCAAAAGTTATAGCGATGCTGGACCCGTCATGGACGTCGTTCTATATCAACAGAACCGCGCTGACTCTGGTGGTGACGCTGTTTGGCATGCCTTGATTGATCTGCACGCTGACGGCAACTTGACCAATGCCACATCCATGACACCTTACGCGGTAGATCATCAGTTTGGTACCCTCCAGTTTGGCTCCCAGGTCACCTTTTGTGTCCAGGTCTACGAGAATGGAGACGTGCTGAACATTGTGGCTGACGGTGGATCTCATGGCACCCATGTTGCAGGGATTGCCGCTGCCAACTACCCATCGGAGGATCCGGTGGAAAAGCTACAAAAGGATGGAGTGGCTCCCGGGGCTCAGATATTGGCGTGCAAGATTGGAGACATTCGTGTATCCACTTCCGAAACAGGGACCGGCCTGATCCGAGCCTTGATTGCTGCCAAAAAGTACAAATGCCATTTGGTCAACTTGAGCTATGGCGAACCGTCCTGGCAACCAGATCGTGGAAGAGTGGCGCAGGTGTTTGACGACGCCGTTCACAAATGGGGCATGACGGTGTTCACCAGTGCCGGGAATGATGGTCCTGCGCTTTCAACTTTGGGGTCGCCTGGAGCCTTGTCATCGCCCATCACCGTGGGTGCCTATGTTTCGCCGCAAATGATGGCAGATCAGTATTCGACCCTCATGGGCTCCTCCAGCAACAGCAGTAGTGCTGACAACGACAAGAATGATCCTGCTGAGCTACCCGGAGCCTCTTACTCGTTTTCATCTCGAGGCCCTACTCCCGATGGTGTACTGCCCGACATTTGTGGTCCTGGTGGTGCGTGGGCTCCAGTACCAACGCATACTTTGCAGGGCATAGGTCAAAAACACGGAACCAGCATGTCGTCTCCCAATGTTTGTGGTGCTGCTGCAGTCTTGCTATCTGCGTTGAAGGAGAAAGGAATTGACGTGGACACTTTCTCACCAAGCGAATTACGGCGCGCCTTGAAAAACACTGCAATAAAAAGCACTGCAGAGGAAAAAGACAGCGTTTTGGATCCGTTCGCCCAAGGAGCTGGCCTGGTGTCCGTTACCAAAGCCCTTGACTATGCATTGGCACACCATGGAAAGCCAGGACAGGATTTGGCATTCGCTATCAAAATCCCAACTAGTGGCAACGCAAGGGGGATCTTCATTCGCGATGCACTGCAATTGGCCGGGCCAATGACAAAAACTGTTAGCGTCAGGCCTTTACTTCAGCATTCCATTCAAAAAACTGACGAAGAGATGAGTTACCTCCTTTCTCTTGAGTTGGACCTCGACTTGGTGCCTTCGCAAAGCTGGGTACAATGTCCTGATCGTATGACACTGGTTTCGACGAAAGAACGAGGGGTGGGGCAGACTTTTGCAGTTAGGATGGATCCTCGTGGTTTGCCGCCGGGAGCCCATTACGCCACAGTAGACGCGATCGACTCAAAGGATCCAGCACGAGGACCCCTATTCCAGGTGCCAATCACTGTCATTATCCCACACGCCATCGTGAGCCCACCGCCTTTTAAGTTTGCTGTGGACGGCAACGTTGACCAGACAACTCAAGTCTTGAGCGCCGATACCGATAAGACGGTTGAGATTTCAACCTGCGACAATGGCATAGACATTGAAATGAGGTATGACCTGACCCCTGGTGCTCCATCGCGGCGCTTCATATCTGTGCCAGCTTCTGCTGAATGGGCAACGATCAAAATACGAAGTGTCACACCGATCGCGAAGCACGAGGCTCCCCATAACTTGATTCTTCATGCAGGTAAGTGAAAAAATTGTCGCCCCCCATCACGATGTCGTCATAAGGCAGCATGCTTCTCAGCTGTCACTGTTTCCTGCATCACAGTACCATTTGCTCGAGGGGATCTACACAACAAATTGATTCAGATCAAAAAATTCTTCCCTCTTAACGAAGGGACGGAAAGAATCTTTCACGTCCATGTCAAGGGAGGCTCCACCCTTGAGATTTGCATGCAGCTTTCGTGGCTATCCAATCCGTCTCCAGCATCGTTGACATGCGACGTTGAGTTTCATTCCTTGGATTGCCGCCAGCCCACTTTCATGGCGTCGCAGCAGCTGAGGATCAGCTCCGCCACAGAGTTTGCACGATTCGGGGCGGGGGCTCCCTTTCGATCAGAAAAGATCAATCCAAAGGCAATGCTAAGTGGAGTCTTTAGAACCATCCGTCCTAAGGAATACAAGATCGCTGTCGGATCTTATGATGATCGCGACATCATGCCCCCAAGTGATGCAGAAATCAAAGCGGCCGCCACCACTAGCGAAGGAGAAGAGCCACAACAGGTAGATGGCACGCAAATCTACAAAATGACCCTTGAGTACTCGTTTAAACTTGCTGACTCCAAAGAGGATGCATCAATCATGGTGACGCCGCGGATCCCATCGCTTTTTCATCAAATCTATGACTCTCCCATTGATTCTCAGCTCTGGGTGCTGGAAGACAAGAACGGGAAGATTCTTGGTTACGGGAGCTGCATGCACGAGGCTGCCGCTGTTTCGTTGGCCAGCAAGCCAGGTGGCGAATACAAGTTGACATTTCGAACTGGCCACCCAAAGCGCAGTGTGCTGGAACAACTCAAAGACATTCCACTTCGACTGACTATGAAGATGGGCAAGGAGTTGGATTGCCCTGTGTATTCTGAGTTTGACAAGGCATCAACACCGGGTGTGACAGAGGATGGCAGAGATCCAGTAAAGCTCACTGCACTCAGACGAGGGGCCCACTGTGATTTGTACGTCACCCGGCCCACTGCAAAACTCCCCGATTGGGTTCAACCAGGAGACGTCATGTATGGCAAGGTACAATTGAACCAGAAGAATGAAGGTGCCACCACATTCGATTTGTTTTATGAGGTCCCGCCAAAGTCGGACGTAAAAGATGGTAGCAAACAGAAAGACGACAAAAAGACGGACGACAAGAAGGATGACGAGGACCAGAAGCTTGAAGAGGATTTCACCGATTCCATCTTCAAGGCCAAAGTCAGCCATTTGTCCAAGCTCCGAGGCAAGAAAAAGTCAGAAGCTTACGAAGCACTAGCAGACGAACTGAAGCAAGAAAAAGCGGACAACCTCCCTCTGCTGGAAGAACTGGTGAGCTATGCCAAAGAGGTCAAGGTTCCTGATTCGGAGAAGGAGAACGAGAAAACATGGCGGGCATCTGAAGTAAGCAAGGCGGTGGATGCCATGCTCAGCTCCAATGGTGGGCCTATCGACGAGACGGCGATTGCTCAATACTACGGTTGCAACAACCCAGCACCAGAGGATGACGACGACGATGAAGAACAAAAGGAGGAAGCAGAAAAGACCAAGAAGGAAATGGGCGACAATCGCAAAGCTTGGAGGAGTGCTCTTTTAACCAAGGCGGGTGCCTGGTCCGACGCTTGCGATGCAACCACGCCTCCTAGTGAGGACGACCAGACAACATTCGATACTGCGGTCAAAGACATGAAAAAGTGGGTTGCAGCTGCCGGGGACTTGAATGGTGACAAGGAGAAGGTCCGACACGCCGTGGTAATGGCTCGACATCAACGAATTTGTAAGAGCAAGGGTGTATCGGCACTGGCATCTCTCCGGAAAGCCCGGAAGGATTTGCCCGAAGAGTTTTTCAAAGAGCTCACCGAAGAGATCGAAAAGGTCTTGAAGGGGATTGACGGTATGTCGTATTGGTTGCAGCAAATGAAAGAAGACATGGATGAAAGATATCCCAAGGTGAAACAGATACTCTAGTTTTTAAGTTTGCTACGGTAGCTACAATCGTCATCGATTATGGTGTAATGGCAAGCATGTAGCAAAGTTTTGTTGGCACGGCGTTGGACCATCACGATGCCTTTAGCAGTGGGGCGTTGCAAACAGTGTCGTGTGGAACTCGGTTATTGAAAGGGTCCATACGGTTGTACCAAAAACGAATAATTTCCAGCAGAATCGAATGATAGCCCTTCCTAAAAATAGATGAATTGTGGATCGGATTTTAAAGATCCTTACATGTACCGTAGGAACGAAAATCTGCGACTGACCGCACTCACGAGAGCATCCTACATGTACCTTTTCTTTGTTGCAAAAGTTAGTTACTGTACCCTCATCATGTATGTGGTTTCATTTTTTACCATGCATTTGCATTGGGAGTCGAGTCTGCAATGGAATACATTATTTTCTTGTTTTATTTTGTTCGCCGTCCTCTCCAAATAAATAAATCTACATGTACGTATCTACCGTAATCCCTTGCGATTTTGCTCCAACAATGCGTCCAGTTTGAGTTCCCAGTCATCGGCAGCCTGTGATTCTTCGTACTCGGTTCCCTTTTCCGCCGAGAAGGACATGTCATTTTCGAATGAGTAGCTCATGTATAGTTTCAATTGCTGCAAGGTAGTGTTCTTTTCGAGCATTTCGACCATGGCCTGTAGGACTTTGTTGCTTTCGGACTCGTATGTGAGCTCCAATTCTTTCAAGGTGTTATTGCTCTCTAGAGCCTTTGCTAGCTCAATGCAAGAATCGGCACTGACAATGTCGCTAATGTGTATTTTCTCCAAGGCAGTGTTGACCGTGAGCATTTGGGCCATGGCAGAGTATCCTTCGTTCTTGACAAAGCAGGCATTCAAGCTGATTCGCTTGAGTGTTTTGTCGGTTTCCAGCGCCTTGGCCATGGCAATGGTGAGATCGGTATCCAAATGCCACAATTTGACTTCCTGCAGCGTTGGGTTTTGACAGAGCGCCGTCAAGGCTGCGGCGGTCAGGCGACGGGGCTTTTCGGGTCGTTCGTCTTCCTTGGCGTAGACATCCAACATTTGCAGACGAGGAGATTTGGACAATGCTAGAAAGAGTGGATCGAGGCCTCGTTTGTCTTCCGCAGCAGCAGCCTCGGCATCTTTGCTTTTAGAGCCACTATCGAAATAGGCACGGAGTTCCGTCAATTCTTCATTTTGACCCAAAGCGACGATTAGATCGTCGGTCAGTAAAAAGTTGTTGAGCGTCAATCGCTGCATCGTCTTGGCACACGTCCACAATCCACCGTCCTTTTCCTGAATGACATCACGAGCCAAGTGACGGTGCAAATGGCAAATAAATGTCTCGCAAATGGGATGAAGACCGGCAATGGCCGCAAACAGCGCATGAGTCTCTTCGCACTTTTTGTTGTTGTTGTTGTCTTCCGTGTTGTCAAGACCCTGCAAAAAGGCAGTCGAGACACGGACTTGCTGAATCAGTTTGGAAGCTCGAAGACAGTCAATCAGTTGTTCAATCTGCGTAAACAGAGCATGATCCGAACCATCCAACACAATCAACGACGGCTCGTAGCCTTTGAACAGCTGCTCCACACTCGACAGTTCGCTCTCCGAATCGGAAAACTCATCGCACGATGTCGCGTACGTATCTTCGTGTGCGTCGTAGCCCATGGTAATACTGATAGCAATAGCGCAGTTGCATGGATCAGACACACAACAAACACAAGCTCAACAGCCAAACAAACAAGTGAGTGCCTTTTGCTTGCCAGTTGTCGCGTCTTTTCCATGGCTTTTTCGTGGCTCGAAGCGGTCATTGACCAAACATGGCTCGCACATTTGATCCGCTCAGTTGGGGAAGGGTCCCATAAGTGAGTGTGTGCGTTTTTAGAAACACTGAACACCACCCCCACCGGTACGCTATGGTTTCGTGAGGTCACCTCACGATTTAAACATAGAAGGGGGTCTGGGGGTGGCTCGTGCAATTTACTTTGGCTCTTTTGAATAGGGGCAAAGAGTACAAAAGCTGATTCTGCAATTATGAGGCCTTCTTGAAGTGTTTTGGTGGGTTAAAGCATACACTAGTAATTAGTAAGGATTGAGTGTAGTAAAACCTTTCTTCTCACATCAAACCATCACTTGTGGATATGGTTTGAAATGTTATAGCCTTCAAAGAACTCCATAAAAAGAACACTGGAGAAGCACTCACAAAATATGTACAGTAAGGTTTCTCCAGTAACGAATGGGGTACAGTTACAGTATTAGTAGTAGTGGATTGGCTTGCCACATACTGAGCCACTGTACAAATGGTGTAGCTCGGACGTTTCACTCCCGTGGAACCATTTATTTAATTGATTTTATTGGCTTGCTACCAGTAGCTAGGACTGTACCAGAAAGCAGCATCACTTACCACGAAAGCAGCCTCACTCGCTCAACCAACAACAAGAGCAACACAACAAGAGCAACAAAATGGTGGAGAAGGAGCGGTATTACGGGTAAGTCTATTATCAAGCATGTTATTATTGAAGGCGCAGCACTGACTTCTCTCCCTCATACAATTCCTATGGTAAACAGGAGGTAAATCCAAGCTTGGCCGACAACAATGGTGAGTGCTTTATCCAATTGGCTAATCGAATGAACGACATAATCTTCAGGCTGGGATGGAATCTTCAGACTGGGACCACAGCTTCAGCTTCAGGCTGGGACAACAGCTTCAGGCTGGGACCACAGCTTCAGGCTGGGACCACAGCTTCAGGCTGGGACCACAGCTTCAGGCTGGGACAACAGCTTCAGGCTGGGACCACAGCTTCAGCCGATTCTTCATCACATGATTAATTCCATCAGGCAGTTCCTGTATCTCTGCGTATGCAGCCCTTATCTGAGCTTATTGTTGTCATCCATGCATCCCCTCCATTTTCATCAGCTATAGTGGCTTCTTGTTGGCATAGACTATGGTCTCAGTTCCAACCACTTTCACTTCGTTTTCACCGATCCTGACACAGTCCCCGTAACTACAAGCCACAGTTTCCATCACCAGTCCTCGGTTACTCATCCTGTGCCTAGTAGCCTTCTCTGATCCCTGCTATATGCTTCTGAGAACATCACTTTGACGAGTGTAATCTCTCACGGAGTGTACAGTAGCATGTACTCGTGATTTTGCTTGGTGATTGCAAAAAACAAGAAACAATTTGCTGCTGGTGCGTGTGAAGATCCAGGATCCAGCAGGATCCAGTGCCAGGTGGCCTCAGGCCGAACCTTCCTGCCCTAATTGTACTGTACTGTGCTGTACTGTGCTGTACTGTACTGTACTGTACTGTACTGTACTGTACTGTACTGTACTGTACTGTACTGTACTGTACTGTACTGTACTGTACTGTACTGTACTGTACTGTACCGTACGGTATTGTACATGTAGCTCTATCATAGCGCTCGGTTTGTGGCAGCTACGCTGTAGTGATGAATCAATCATTCGGCCGCTCTAACGGAGCTTTGCTACAGCTAGCTAGCTAGCCCACCGAAGCAAAGGAAAAAGATGCCGTACTTCCCCACCCACAAAGCTTTCTTGGTATTTAAAATTAATAGCTTATTTTAAAAACAAGCCACGACAAAAAGATCATAATGTGATCATGGAAAGTTTCATTGCAACCATACCAGTACGGTATGCGCACATGTAGCTTGATTGCCACGCCCTAAAACAATTGCGTTATAGTAATATCCTTTCAGCTAGCTAAAAGGATTACACAGGGAAGGATTTGCCGAGAGGAGGTAGAATAAGCAGTGGACGTTGCCCTCCACAGCAATAATGGCGTTTGCCCATTGCGCTCGTGAGGCCGTTCTCGATTCATCATGAACCAAAGCGTATCGTCCCACTTGATTCAACTTGAGATGAGTCTCCAAGTCTTGTTCCAACAGGGAATTGGATTGATAACCAGTTACATCTAACGTTTCCAATGTCAGATTGACTTGGATCATCTTGACAAAGGCTTCCAAACTAACCACTGGCATGCCTTGCAAGGTGAAACTCTGGAGGGAACTATTGGATTCTAGTAGACCATTGGCCAACACGTTGGTGCATTCCGCGTTCAAGTGTTTCCCACAGGAATAAGTTCCTTTATCGGGTTCGAGGTAGAGAGACTGGAGGGACGTGCTGGTTGTCAGAATATCGGCAACGGCCCGACAAGCTCGCAATCCAAAGGATTTGCAGGAAATTGACAGTTCGTGGAGGCGACTGTACGTGCCTGCCAACCATATTCCCTCGGCCAACGCTTCCCAATGTTCGTCAAAGAGCTTGAAATTGAACAATTCCAATTGTCGCAGAGAATGAGATGCAGCAACTTGCTGAATCACGGATTTCGATAGCCTGGTTCCTGGATACTCCCTGACCCTGTGTCTTCGATGCCGAATGCACAGCTGTTCCAATTGTGGGAGTCTCGTTGTACACACAGATAGCAGCCTTTCAAATGCTAATTGTGGGTGTTGTTGTCGACTACTAATCGTACTGGCCGTCAGCCACTGGGATCCAAAAAAAGAATTGAAAAAGCTGATTTCGGATAACTTGCTGTCTTGGAGGAGCGCTAGTTCCAGACTTTCCAGGGTTTTGCCCCGTTGTGCCGCATCTTTGTCTAGATTCAAACACAGTCCGTGAACTCTCAAACGCTCCAATCGTATCGATCGTTGGAGTGTTTCCACCAACAATTCCGTGGGGACCGTCACGGGATTTCCGAACGACGCTGCCACAAAACTGAGACTCTGTAGATTGACAAGACTTCCCAAAGCCTGAAAGAATTCACGTATCTGACGCTCTTCTTCGGCGGTACGAGGAGAACTACTCCATCGCCACATAAAGAAGGAGCCATGGCAGGTAACTGTGACGTGCCTGATTGTTGAAGATCCTTTCGCATGAAGAGCTTCGGTAGTGTGTCGAAAATTCGAATCTGATTTCAGAGCCAAATCAAGTTCTGTGATACTGCTGGAAGATGACGATGACGATGAGGCTGATACAGCGTTGTTGCTGCTGAGCAAGCGGTCGCGGTCTTCTACTGTTGCCATGGTCTTTTTTGTTTTGTTTTGGAAGAGAGACGAAGATGGAAGAGGAATGGGATTGCGTCTTCACGACTGAAAATCCAATTTCCACGGCCCACTTCCACGCTCGACCCAAGTGACAACCCACCACTGGGCTTTGAACACCGATCAGAGGCAACCGAAAGGGCGAGGTTTCAGGGCTTTTTGGGTGAGGGCATACCAGTACCGGTACTAGGTTAGGAAACCGGTCAGATGGATGGGTGGGCGGGCTGACAGCGGCCGAGGGAAGGGAAGCATTGGCAGCAATAATATATGCTGGGAAGAAACACGTCAGATTGGGCAGGCCAGGGGGGGGGGCTGGAAAGCAGCCAAGGGAAACGAAAACAATGAAAACAGATATTTGAAGCCATGGACCCCTTTAGCTGTTGTGCTGATATGGTGTTTCGCCTTTTCCATTGGTTCCTTTGCCATGCAATAAAGAAACAATGAAGATTTGGAGCTTGCCTACATGTAATCAATAGGAAACTTCTAGAATGTTTAGCACAATGATTGAACGAATGATTAAAATCCTTTTGAAGCTCATTATATTTGGTTATGGTATATTTGTAGTTCCACGGCCAAAACCACACTTAACGCAGCTGCAAACACGCCATCCCTTCTTCATTGCGATAAAAGAATGGAGCTTTATCCGCTTCCGCCAACGTCTGGGATGTGATCTCAGGGCAGAGCATGAGTTTGTCCTCCATCGCAGAAACCATGTCCGGTACCCCGCCAAAAGCCCTTCGCAAGAGAAACAACCCGTGTCCAGGAGCAAGAAGATTGTCACATGCGGCTTTAATGCCCGCCGTGGACTTCTCCATCGGCATCCAATCAAAAATGTTGCTGGGAGATATCAAATCATACTTGGCGTCCTCATCACCCAACTCCAAAAAGTTCGAGTTGACAAACTCCACCGAGGAGTCGGTCTCTCGCAGCCTTTGTCGAACGGATTCATTCAGCCATTCTGGGTGGCATTCATCGGAATACGCGTGCAAGAACGTCATGCGAGCAATGTGGGATGAAGTCAATCCTGCCACCTGATAGTGACCTCCCAAACACTTCTGAAGGAACCCATCCTTGAGACGGGCCAAGAAGACTTCCATGATATGTGGTGGAAGGATGCGGTCTAATCCTGCGACTTCCAGGTACTCCTCCGCCGAAAACAAAGGCTCATCTTTGTTGTACAGGACTCGCTCCAAGCGGTCCAGATCGTTGCAATTGCCTTCGAAAATATCTTTCAGTGAGAAACCTTCCTTGGTCTCAAGAACGTGGTTGATGTGGCGGTTGCAATTCTCCAGCGCACCAAACAGGACAAAGCCGTGCTCAAGTGCAGGAGCAGTCAGAGATTCGAGGGTCGAAACAGCTGTCGGTTCCAAATGGGGTTTGACATGATCCTCAAAGACAGCTAGTCGATCCATGTCCTCGATCGGCTTGTCGTAGGCCCCCAAAAAAGTCAGGACTTGCTCCTTGGAAAGGGTGGACTTGGCCAAAGCTACCTTGGTTTGGGCCAGAGCTTGAGCCATCGGGTCCGTGTCCACAGCGGTGACATGCTGCACTGAAGGGTGAGCCAACAGGCTCAGAAAGTTGTCACCTCCTCCTGTCACGACGAGACAGCGCAGTTTCTTGTCTGTCGTCTGTTGAAGACGACTCACCATGAGCAGCTCACAAGCACCATCTTCGTTGTTGTAGCCTGAAATAATCCCGGCGTGAGGCAACAGATGAGGATATTTCTCTTGGAAAGCAGTTGGTGCAATGGATGCCATGGATCGAAGGGGTTGTCCAAGACGAGAGGCAGAAGATCCTGCGACGGCCATAGCAGCTTTAGAAAGTTTCATCTTTTTCTTTTTTGAGATTTTGTTTGGGGTTTTACTGTATGATTCATATGCCTCCTGGCTCGTCTCCGTTTCCATAAATCTTTTATTACCAACACATAACTCCCTTTATTGAAACAGTATTCGCGCGCTCCGCGCGCTCATCCCTTTCTCTGCTTCGCCCCGAAACTGATCCCTCATTCATGCGAAAAATGTGAAGCTCGAGCTCATTCATGCGAAACTTGTGTGAAAAGCGAGGCGACTTTCATGTGCATGTACATGCGTTGACTGTATCCCGTCAATACAATACTAGTCGAATACGTAGACTTCTACAGAGGCCTCTAAGTAATGCACGCGGGGTATAATTCAAACCTCCACTCCCCAAAAGTACCCTTACCCCTAAAAGCAAATCGTCTCCGGGAGACGAAATTTTGTGAGGGGAGTGGATCCGGACCAGGAGGGGCTCCGGTAATCCCCAGATGACGTCACCATAAACCCCAAAGTGTTTGGCGAGTCGCGAGAAGTCGCGAATAGTCGCTTAGAGTCGCGCGATTCGACGCGGATTACCGAACGAGTCTTCACGATTCCACGCGACTCCTCGCGACTCATCGCGACTCACTTCTTAAGTACTTGTATTTATTCCGATATGGTGTCGCGACTCCATGCGACTCCACGCGTTTGTACGCGACTTTATACGCGTTTGCGCGCGACTGCTCGCGATTGCACACGACTGTGGTCGCCACTGCACCCGCGCGACTGCTATTCGGGGTGGGATCGCCAAAAGGCCCGTAAACCGGAGGCCCTCCAGAATGGTGGGGGGCCTCACCGTAGTTCTTGCAGGACTGTCATCAGTGACGGAAAGCGCTCAGCTCCAATGAAAACAACTTTGAAGTCAGGTGGTTGCGGTAATCATAATTCTTAAAACCAAACCATAACATTAGACTACTACCCAATCTACAATTCTCAAGCTGTCTTCAAAGCAAAAGAGAGCAGAGCTCCAAGAAAGCAAAGCAGCACAGCTCGTGAAAAGAGCCTCCGAGTAGCTTGGTGCGAGTACCGGTATGCTTACAGCCTTACCTTTCCCGGAATTAGAAACGCTACTACCAGAGGTGCCTGTCGTACAAGACTCACAAAGATTGAGAGGCCGATGTTGAGTCGTCGAACGACATCAATAATCGAGTCAGCCGATTGCGCATGGATTTTACTTAAATAAAACGTGCTATTTTAATCTACTCTTAGAAAAGTATTGAAATCAAAGGATAGAGTTAAAAAGGCTTCGACCAACGAAATTGGTTGGATTCAAACCAACACAATAAAGAGAGGATACAGCGTGACAATGGCCGATCAAAAGAGCTCCTGCGTCAATCCTTGGTCCTTGGCATCCTGAAAGGCAGAGCCAGTGCTGTCGTTGTCACTATCGTCCTTGAAGCGAAGCTTGCGGAGGCCGCGAATGGCTTCATCTTCGTCATCGGATTCTGCCTTCTTGGCGGCCTTCCTGTTGTTACGCGTCCGACGAGTGACAGTCTTGTTGCTTTTCTTCGCCGTCTTGGTCACGAACCATTGCTCATCCGCCGCCGTGTTGACAGGGCGGTACGGAGGACGGTGCGGAGGACGAGGTCGGTCAGCAATGCCGGTGCCGCTGGAGACCTCAAACGTTGAAATGACACCCCCATCAGGCTTGAAGATTGCGGTCCTCCATCCACGACAATGCGCCTTTCCACCTTGGTCGTTAATGATTGCCTTGATTGCAGTTTCTCCTGCATCACCCAAAGAATGGTTTCCGTACGAAAGGACAAGGCGATGGTTTCCAGAGTGAGTAAAGGCCCACTCCAAGGCTCCACAAATTGCGTCGACGCTGTTGGACGGAAGGGTGCCATCATCCCGATCGCTGTAGATCTTGACCTTGAGCTCCTTTGTGTTGAAATTAACCATGTTTGCTGTTTGCTTGTGGCTTTTGTTGGAAATGAGTTCGAAGTGGAGGAGTTTGTTTACTTCGATCTCCCTCTCCGAATCTTTCGCTCCGTTTGAATGTTTCCCTCTGTTTGAATTGCTCGTTCAAAAACCCGAGGAAGTTTCTTATTCGGCGGGAAATCCTTGTCTTTCTGTTGTGTACTTTCTGTTGCGACACTCATTTCCTCTTCTTTCCGGGATTATTCTTCGACATTGTGATCAAGATGGCGGCGAGTTTCTTCCTTCAAGCTCCAAGCGAAGAAAAGGAGTTTGTTTACGAGCCAAGTCCTTGGGTTCCTGTCCAACACCGCTCGTGTTCTTTGTCTCATGCAGATGCTCACGATGTCGCCTTTCGCGTCTGGCTTCATGATGGTTGTCGAACAAGAGTCCGTGGATCGCTAAGACTTGAACGATACCTTGACACTTGTCATTATCGCTTGGTAAGTTGGGGTAGCACTATCGACTGGGATTCTGGTGCCTTCATTGAGCGTGCAGAAGAGGCGACAATCAGCTTGCCAGATCCAAAGAAATGGGTTGTCGGAAAAGCACAAAAACTACGAAGCAACAATCGGCAGGCCCGTGTCATTACAATCGAGTTTCAAGAAGGGGTGATGTGGCCAAGATGCAGATGGTTTTCAATGTCACTGCTTCATCGGATCATGGAAAGTTCTTTATCAGGACTTTGAATGCCGAGCAAAGGATGTGGATCTAGCACCAATGCACAAGCAAATCGTAACAATATCAAGCCTCCATCGACTATGAGATGACGCCTTTAACATAAGATATAATATTAGCTATATAATTGTTTGAGCAACTAGATGTGGTATGCGTGTACCGGTAGCCTCCGTATCAGGTATAGTCTAGTTGTGGTGCTGTAATCTTCGTGTAGCTGTTGGCGGCAAGTGCAATGAACAACGAGAGATGGCGCTTTTGTGGGAAGAACAAGCAAGCAGCCGACTACTCCGCCTCGTTACTATTCGATTGCAAGCACAAACAATGATGGCCGAGAAAGCAGACGTCAACACGAAAGAAGCGAGGAGGATTGTTAGTGTCTTAATCTCTAGAATAAAACCAAGACGATGGGCGTTTCTTCCAACCAAACAATGCGATTCTGCTGCAAACAACAGCCTCTGCTCCGTTGCCAATCAGCCGTTCAACGTTGTTGGTCACATCTTTGTTTCGGCCGGAATTCTCTCTAGAAGCCACCATTCCGAAGCTGAATTCCGCCTTGATTCAACAACAGTGTTTGAGAGCATCATTGCTGGACACAACAAGCGTCTAAAGACGCAGATGCGGATTGCACTACGCTAAAAGCTAGTGTAAAGATCTTTCGAGTGTTTTGAGTTTGAGAGAATGAAAGTTATGAGAGGATTAGAAAGCTATGAAAACTAATCAACGAGAGAGATCCACAATCAAAGGATCGTAGATCTGAACTCCCGCGGGAGACTGTAGAGTGTGATAGAGTGGGTTGCGGTAGCAATCCTACTCACTCCACGATCCAAAAACGGAACGCGTGGAAGATTCGCCTAGCATTTATCTAGTAGCGTGGAAGTACTCCACGCTGGCTAAATATCTAGAGCGATGTTTCATCATCAACCTAGTATGACTAGGGGTGTAAAATACTCGTTAGTTTAACAAACTATGGCCACGGAGTGGCTTTTGTGACGCGGGCAATTGGTGGGGAAGCCCCCACCTAGCTGAGTCGTCATCTACTTATTTGCCCAATCAACATGACCTCATCCACTGGCCCAGCATGGAGCCAGCACCAAGTAGACAGATGCCCTGGGTAGGGGGGTGAGCACATTGATAGGGAACCTGCAGCGCAAACCTGGGTTACAGGGGCTTACACAGGATTTTTGTCGGTATTGAAACCATTATCACCATAGGGACCGTGAGGACCAGTTAGATTGCCAGACCAAAGAGTGCTAATCAGGTCCCAAGCTGTGCAAGGGCTTGGCATGCAAGGAAGATGCAGCAGAGCCCGTAGGAGGTGTTACTCCTCAGCTGGACCAGAGCAGGTGTAACCCATCCAATGCACAAAAATTGTTAGATAGAGGCCAACAAGCAGGCAGAAGATGGGGTCAAATGACACACTGGCAGTGTGTGGTTCCCAGAGGAGGCACAGTGGCTGCTGGATGTTGTGGGCTGTTCGAGGGTTGTTGAGTCAATAGAAAGGGATAAGGGGCACGCATGGAGTGGGCTGGTGCAGGGGCAGGAGGGGAGATCTGTTGGTGTATGAGTGTTGTTATGTGGAAGTTGGGATGTAGCATAGGTTACGATGGGTGATGTATGTAGCGATAAGAGCGATGCTAGTGTTCAAACGGGTGAGAAACAAAGATCTACCATGATAGAGGTGGGTTTGTTCGGAGGAGAGATGATGATCTCCTAGAGAGGTGCATACATCTAGAAGCTGTTGGCTAGATCATTGGGCGTGGTGTTGTGTACAGTACTGCGGAGGATGGTGGATCGTGGTTGGTTGGGTGAAGTGTAGGGATCCAGAAATAGAAGGATGATCATGGGAGAGACCTGGCGTATGATGAAGAGTATGGGTGAAATGAGAAGTCGATGGCTGAAACAGGTAGGATAGAGATGGATTGGTGGAGAGGGTGAATCATGGAGTGTTGACTAGTAAGTGTACGTTGTTCAACTCAAGAAATGGAGGTTGCTTTGAAAAAAGGTGGCGAGATGATATGAAGTAGAAAGGGTGTATTCAAGGAGAGAAATAGCCTTGAAAAAAAAAGCAAAACGAGTATCAATGGGTTATATATCAAGGAGTTGGTATCTTAAATATCTACTCAATTTTAC